TGACCACTAAGCCCTTGTCTGTGCTAAAGGGAAGGGATTCGATTCGCTGATTTGCAAGGGGTGAGACTGGCCTGCAAGAATATCTGAAGTAACTCAGTGCCAGGGAACAAGCAGGTTCTGGTTAAATAAAGGGAATAATGAGGCTTATGATTTGATGGGACCTCAAGGCAGGTTCTAGAACCAGCTTTGACATTCTTTATTGGGTGGATAAAGAAATTCTTACCTCTCCGGGCCTTTGCTTCTTTGGTGTAAGATGAAGCCAAAATGCCAGACCCCAGCAGACAGAAAAGAAAGACGTGCCAGAGCTGAGTGTATACATGTAGTTTTGTTCTAGTTTCATTTCTGTGGTGATAAAATTCTCTGGTCAAGGGCCGGGTGTTCATGCCTTTAGTTCCAGCACTTGAGAGGCAGGATCTCTGTGCGTTCCAGGCCAGCCAAGGCTACATAGTGAGACCCTGGGGTGGGGGTGGGGGTGCAAAGCTCTGGAAAAAAGCAACATAAAAGGAGGAGGATTTATTTCAGCTTACAGGTTACAGTCCATCACTGAGGGAGTCAAGGCTAGAACCTGAAATCAGATCTGTTTGCTATTCATAAAGCATTAATTACCTCTGACCAAGAAACCCAGTCACTTTCAAGGAAATGAAGCAGGGACAATGGAGAAATGCTGCTTTCTGGCTCAAAAGCAGGTTTATTTTAGCTAGCTTTCTTTTCTTTTAACTTCCCTTTTATTTATTCTTTGTGCTTTTCACATCATGCCTCCTGGTCCCACCCATCTCCTTCCCCTGCCCAAATAAAACAAATAAAATTTAAGAGGAAAAAAAAAAGGAGGAAAAGGGGAGAAGGGGAAAATGTCACCATGGAAGCTATGGAAGCTACAATGTGACACAGCGAGTCACACAGTAAACCATTTTATCCATACACTTTTTATATGTAGGTGTTCGTTGCAAAGAGTCTTTGGCCTGGTTTGAGGCTCCTGGTCTCTGCTACACCATCAACACTGGACCCTCACCCCAGTCTTCCTGGACATCCCACTGCTGCCCTGTCAGGGAGATCTTGCAGCCCTGGGTCCACAGGACCAGCTTGCCCCCCACCCTGTGCTCCAGTAGATCACAGATGGGGTGGATGTTGGAGTGGGCCATCGTATAGCCCAGGTTCTGAGTCTGGATAGTTGCAGGGCTGGTCAGCCCACCAGTTCTCCCCTGTCCTCACTGCCAGGGTGAGCTCTTTAGAATTTCCCTGGCTAGTTCACCCCTAGCAAGAAGGAGTGAGGGGTGAGGCCTGTTCTCCTGCTTTCACGTCCTCAAGGTCGGTTCTCCCACACCAACACCTTCAAGGCCAGCTCTCTAGTGTTGCCCAGGCAAGGTGTAGGGGCCACTCTCCCAAGTGCTGCAGCTGAGGAGGGCAGGGACAGCTTCCCACTCTTACAACCTCAGGACTAGCTCTTTCACCTGCCTCAGGTGTTTATGGGGGTATCTCCCCCCCCCCGCCTATGTTGCCAGATGACAGATGAGTAATGGGGACAGTTCTCCCAAACTCACAACATCAGGCTTGGCTCATCCACACCTCCACCAACAGGGTCAGCTCTACTGTGCTGCCCAGGCGAGGTGCAGGGTACACCTTCCCAAGCGCTGCAGCTGGCAAGGGGGAGGATCACCCGTACCCCCACCCGTCACAGGTGGCAGGGTAAAGGGGGAGAGGGAGATGTTGTCAGCTGTCCCACTCTCTCACCTCAAGGCTTTCTCACCCATACCTCTGCCAACAGAGTCAGCTCTCCCAGGCTGCTAGGTGAGGAGCTGGTAAAGGGGAGGGGTCAGCTCACTTGTCTGTCACAGGCAGTAAGGAGTGAGGAGTAAGGAGGACATCTCTTCCCTACCCACATCACCAAATGACAGACAAGTAGTGGGAACAACTCTCCCATGCTCACAACTTCATGGCTGGCTCACTCATATGTCCGTCATGTGCAGGGCTAGCTCTATTGTTCTACCCAGGCAAGATTCAGGGTCTGCTCTCCCTAGTGTTGTAGCTAGTGGTGGGCAGGGACAGCTATCTCAGTCTTATAACCCCAGGGCCATTAGCTAGAATTCTTATATAGCTCAGGACAACCTACCCAGGGATGATCTTGCCTATAGCCAGCAATTAACAATCAAGTCAGTGCCCGCAAAGACATGAACACAGGCAAATTTTGACTCAGGCAATCCCGCAATTGCAATTCCTTTCTCATGCGGTTCCAGGCTAAGGTACAGTCAACCAGGACAAGTGGGGAGCCTGGTTTGCCTTTCCTGAGGAGAGAGCCTGATGTCCAAATGGAGATCTCATCCACTTTTGCGATGGAGCCACTGAAGTCAAGAGAAGAAGAATTGTTTCACAAGCATTAACACATAAGGCTAGGAATAAAACTCAGAATCCTCCAAGACTTGAATGGAGAAGAGGCAGCTCAGAAAGGCAAAAGTCAGTGGCAAGGCTAAGGACTAGGTATATGTGGGGCCAGTCCAGTAGGGTTCCACACAACCTTGGACCTTACACCTAGTATATATACCCGAGCCTGGGCCTATGAATCTGACACTTGTGATTAAATTGCATTATATGGAACAGAATACCTTCAAAGGGAATGTCCAGTGGACCCAAATAACAGGAACCTTTCTCATACTATCCCCAGAATAGTCTTCATGGAAGCCTTTTCTGACCCCTAGCCAAAGGAGCCTCCTCACCATTATTTCATTTATTTATTTTTATTTATGCTTATCACAATCTCCTTTTTTCCGAGACAGGGTTTCTTTGTGTAACAGCCCTGGCTATCCTGGAACTCACTTTATATACCAGGCTGACCTTGAACTCACAGAGATCCGCCTGCCTCTGCAACATGAGTGCTGGGATTAAAGTTGTGCACCACCACTGCTTGGCACTTATCACAATCTTATATGTGGTTGATTTATATCTACCCTGTGATTGTTAGAGTATTTTGTCCACAGAGAATCCTTTGGAGTCTGCCAGAGTAGACATTGAATCCAATTTGTTGACTTGATTGATATTTCTGGATTTTTTATATTGATTGATATTGCATCCTGTGTGAGACTTGCTATATCCTGCCTCAGTTACCCCCCCCCCCCCCCCCCGCCGCCAACCTCTTCATCTCTCAAATTAGATTCAGGAGAATAACTTCCACATGGTTTGTTACTAGAGTTATTAGAATCAGAGAATGGGCTCTGGCAGCCCTAAAAAACACTGTGCATGGCAGCTCGTTCTAAATACATCAATTATGTAGACAATGCAATAGTGAAAGCAGAAAAAAAAAGATTTCTTCAACATGGCAACATTAAGCAGAGGAACAATGAAATCCAGTTATCTTCCAAGTGATCTTTAGGGTTCTGACATAGGTTTGGGTTTATTTAGAGGACAAGAAGTATGATTACTAAGCAGTCGTGGGTCCTAGCCATTATCGTCCTGGTTTCCGTCTCTGTGGCAAAGTGGTCTGACTAATTGCATAACTGTAAAATTTCGTTCCCTGAGACAAGTTCCTTCTCCAGCTGGTGCCACTTCACTCTTTTCCTTCCTTTCCTGGGAAATTCCAAATTCGTGGGGGTTCACTGATTGAAGAGTGTGATTGTCGAAGGGAGGATAAGGATCTCTTTAGAACATATTTATTCCTGCCAGGATAGTTTTATTGGAAGCTGTCCATGCTGCCTCAAAGCAACTATTTATATGCTATGGACCTAGCGTTACCTTGCTATAAACCCAGGAAACACATGAATCAGTTCAGGCCTCAGCTCCACTAGTATCCCATGAAGTCTTGTCTGTGCTTGGTGCCCATCCCGGTGTGTATGGCCTCCCTAATCGTCAATTTCCCAGTGAAAGCTAGGGTCTCTCTCTCTCTCTCTTTTTTTTTTTTTTTTTTTTTTTAGTTTTTCGAGACAGGGTTTCTCTGTAGCTTTGGAGCCTGTCCTGGCACTAGCTCTTGTAGACCAGGCTGGCCTCGAACTCACAGAGATCCGCCTGCCTCTGCCTCCCGAGTGCTGGGATTAAAGGTGTGCGCCACCACCACCCGGCTGAAAGCTAGGGTCTCAAAGACTGAAACAAGTGTCTCCTGGCAGTGTATAGACGTGTCAGGGTGTTCTATAAGCATGATCTCACATGCTTGAGTATGGGCATATCTGTAGGAAACTACCTGGGTATTAAAGAGAGCCAAAGAAAAGTTCTGAACAAAGTTCGAAACATCAATTTCTTTCTGGTGCCTTTTGGAACATATTAGGGTTGCCTGAAATAAACATCTCTGATGTCAGGACTGCCCTCAAGGACCGTGCTGCTCTCTCTTCCCGGGAGCTCCTAGTAGACTGTCAACTAGTGCTAGGTGCTGGAGATTTAGAGGATTTACCCTGATTGCTGGGGGGGGGGGGGGGGGGGGCTGTGGGTGGGTGGGGACTTGATTGGTAAAAAAGCTGGATCCAGCCTAAGTGAGAGAGAAGGTAGTGAGGACTCTTAATCGGGAGTCCTTTAATCCCAGCACTCAGGAGGCAGAGGTAGGCGGATCTCTGTGAGTTCGAGACCAGCCTGGTCTACAGAGCTAGTTCCAGGACAGGCTCCAAAGCCACAGAGAAACCCTGTCTCGAAAAAAAAAAAAATCGGGAGTCCTAGGCGAGATGCAGCCATTTATGGATTTTATATAAAAGTGATATTCATGCTCCAGCTGTGAAAAGATGCCTCTTGTGAGGCGAGGTCAGCAACACGAGAAAGCCAGGATCTGTGCGGACAATGGTGGCCTGGCCAAGTGAGCTAGTAGACGACAGAGGATTGAGCTCACGATGCAGACGTGGAAGACGAGCAAGATTCTAGATGATGGCAACGGTAGGTGCTCTGGCTAGACTACATATGCGGCCAGGTCCCCTGCGCGAAACCGGCGCTCTGGCGTCCAAGGCGGGAGAACCTGCAGTGCGAGAGGTTGGGGGAATTGTTTCCGCCCGGACGGCAAAGCAGAGGACCGGAAAGGAGGAGGCGGAAGTACAGCTATTAGCCGCAGTGCTTGGATCAGCCCGCGAAGTTCTAATCAACCTACTGCGGAAGACACGGGAGTAGGCGTCCTCACAGCTGTTTGATCCCTCGAGACCCGAATTCCGGAAGGCACCCCCACCGAGACAGGTGAGCTGGGAGTCACTTAGGTCCTGCCACTGGCAGTTTTATCTGCGTGGTCCCTGGACGGAGGTTATAAACTAGGCTCTTGCCGGTTCTGGAGCGGCCGCGGTGCACTCTGGGGCGGTTGGGGGGTGGGGGGAGGCTCTTGCTCCCAGTAGAATCTAGCAAGAGGCGCCTTGCTTGCCTGTAAGGCGGAGGATTTACGCTCTCCTGCCAGTCAGTCCCATCTGAGAGTGGACTCGGAGGTCTGGAGAAGTTGAGTGATTGCTAAGGGTTGCACAGCTTTACATACCATGATTCTGTTTCGGTACATCCCCTGTCCCGCTTGAGACAAGGTATCTATCTCCACATAGCCTTGACTATCTTGGAACCCTTTCGAGTGCTGGGATCAGAGGCACGCGCCTCCACACTTGGCCTGGCTCGCGACTTCATCTGCACTTGGGTGTCCACCTGGGCTGAGTGGCGCATGACCCCAACCTTAAGAGCTACAGAGGCAGGAACGCCTCAGTGTGCCGGCCCAGGCCACGAGGGATGCTGCCAGGATCTTAGTCGCAGGCTTCTTGTGAAGAGTTTCGGGTAGAGCACATAGATTGTGGATTGTGCTTGGTCTTGTTCAGGTGCCTGTTGTTTTGAGAAGTAGCTTTTTTTTTTCAAAGTAGGGCCGAATTTTGTGAGTCAGGAGATCATTCAGTTGATATCTTTACCGCTCCCAAATGCCTTTTTCTTTTCTTTCTTTTTTCTTTTTTTTTTTTCTTTTTTGAGACAGCGTATCTACATAACCCTAGTTGTCCTGGAACTCACTGTGTAGACAGGGTTGGTTTCAAACTCACAGAGATCTGTCTGTCTCTGCCTTTGGAGTGTTGAAATTAAAGTGTTCTCTGCCTCTGCCTTCCAAGTGCTGGGATTAAAAGCGTGTGCCACCATGACCAGCTCCAAGCTCCTTTTTTTTTTTTAAAGATTTATTTATTTATTATATATACAACATTCTGCTTCCATGTATGCCCACACGCCAGAGGAGGGTGCCAGATCTCAGTACAGATGGTTGTGAACCACCATGTGGTTGCTGGGAATTGAACTCAGGACCTCTGGAAGAGCAGCCAGTGCTCTTAACCGCTGAGCCATCTCTCCAGCCCCTTTTTTTGGTTTTTTCGAGACAGGGTTTCTCTGTGGCTTTGTAGCCTGTCCTGGAACTAGCTCTGTAGACCAGGCTGGTATCGAACTCACAGAGATCCGCCTGCCTCTGCCTCCCGAGTGCTGGGATTAAAGGCGTGCGCCACCATCGCCCGGCCGCCAAGCTCCTTTTGATAGGAAATAACAGGCCTTCTGACCTCCACAGCAATAGCTACCTAAAATGATTGGTGTAGTGGCCCGTGGCTACAAAGCCTTTTTTCCTTGTCTTTGTTGTAGAGAATTTCTGCAGAGAGAAAACTGGTGCCACATGTTGTCAGCGCTTGCCTGGAGTGACTGAAACCCTGAGATGTTCAGAGGGGTTTGTCTGATAGGCCCACCACTGAGTCCTGTTGAATATAGCCTGATATGCCCAAGGTAGTCCTGAATGGTGTGATGGTGGACTTCCCTTTCCAGCCCTACCAATGTCAACAGGAGTACATGACCAGAGTGCTAGAATGCCTCCAAAAGGTAAAGCTACAGAGCCCGACTTTTCTTCTAGGGAGGGGATGATGCGGGTGCACCTCCAGCAGACCCCACTACACCCCCACCCACATCCATTCCAGACAGGCTCTGGATATGGATGCACCTCCAGCAGACCCCACTACACCCCCACCCACATCCATTCCAGACAGGCTCTGGATACGGGTGCACCTCCAGCAGACCCCACTACATTCCCACCCACATCCATTCCAGACAGGCTCTGTCTGCATTTTTTGGTCACTAGAACTTCTGGTTAGGTTAATGGAGACTATAACAAGTGAATGAAAGAGATAATTCCAGATAGTGATAGCTCTGAGAATGTCTTGGTGCCCTTTCTGAGTAGATGGTGTTTGTGTTGAGTTCGGTGGCTAGGAGTGACTACCATTTGGGATCTGGAGGAGTGTTTCTCTGCAGAGGAGCTGGAATACCCAGTTCTCTCTCTGAAAAAAAAAATCTTTGATTTTTCTTTTTTTTTTTTAAAATTTTTAAATTTAATTTTATTTTTTGAGGCAGGATCTGTTTCACCATAGCTGACCTGGATAAGCCAGGCTGGCCTCCAGCTCACAGAGATCTGTCTGTCTCTGCCTTTGGAGTGTCGGGATTAAAGGCTTGTATCACCATGGTTGACTTTTTTGTTTGAGACATGAAAAAAAATCTTTAACTATTAGAAGTGTGTGGGGCAGATAACTTTCACTGAGTTTTTAAGGTGCCCTCTTGTGTTCTAATCACCGTTTTCCTCAGATGTCTTGCTCAGCTCCCATCTGATATCTGGAATGTAGGCCATCAAATTCTGTTTAGGTAGGGTGAATGCCTGGGCCCAGAACTGCAGAACAGCTTCCTATTTTGAGACCTGACACCTAATTAGTCATCTAACTATTTTAGGCTGAAATATACTGTCAGGTTTTGGGTAATACTCTGAATTTATTTCGCTAATGAGGGCAGTCTTTTTTTTATATATTTGTTTGTTTTCTGAGACAAGGTCTCTTTACATAGCCCTGGGTGTTCTGGAGCTTACTATGTAGACCAGCCGGGCCTCAAACTCACAGAAATCCACTTGCCTCTGCCCTCTCTGTGTACCACCATACCTGCCTACTGAGGGCAGGCTTAACCTATGGCTTTTAGGGCAGAAGTGGAAAATGTCAAGAGCTAATTATGTCCTCTAGGCGTGGGCTGGGCATCTAAGAGCATCTTACTTTCCCGTTTCTCCACACCCTGTTTTTCCTCTCATTGTCGCTGACTCCATTTAGAGAGTGAATGGCATCCTAGAGAGCCCCACAGGCACGGGGAAGACACTCTGCCTCCTCTGCACCACACTGGCCTGGCGGGAACATCTCCGCGACGCTGTTTCTGCCCAAAAGATTGCTGAGAGAGTTCAAGGTGAACTCTTTGCCAGTCGGTCTTTGTCGTCCTGGAATGCTGCTGGCGCTGGTGGAGACTCGATAGGTGACCCTTATCTCCTCATCCCCACCCCCATCATTCCTGTTCTCCTATGTGGATTATAGGGAAGGGGAACCTGGGACAGGGCCAATCCACCTATGCTTCCACTATCTCTGGAGCAGAATTTAATAGAGGAGAATTTTGTGTCATCCATGTTACTTACCATTCTGGGTGTACACCTGGGGTCAGAGCTGTTTTCCTGGAATTAGGGTACCATAGCAACCCACACTGTTTAGCGTCAGGTTTGTGGATGTCTGCAGGACTGAGCTCAGTGCTGCGTGTGTAAACACACATGAAGATGTTTCCTCACAGCTACCCCCTTTCCTTATGCTTGTGCAGCTTGCTACACAGACATCCCAAAGATCATCTATGCTTCCAGAACTCACTCACAGCTAACCCAGGTCATCAGTGAGCTTCGGAACACTTCCTACCGGTATGTCAGCATGTTCACACCTCAGAGATTATCTGGATAGTGATCTTGGTTTGGAGCCGATCCACAGCCAGCTGGGTAGATAGAGACTGGCTGGTTTTGACATACATTACTTGTGGAAAAGCAGCTTTGAACTTTGAACTTATGACTGTCCTTGCTTTTGAACCCTGGGTTTTTTGTAGGGCTGTCATGTTGCCTGTGGGTAGAGTCCCACAAGGCAGCTTTGCCCATGATGGAAGAAGAATGCCTTTTGCCAAACTTCATCTGAGTCTTGGTATCTAGCTATGGCTCTCGTGTGGAAGAACTTGTACCTTAGGTTGCTCTGTCCGGTTTTCCTTGCCTTCCCACATTCTAGCCTTTTTGTTTCCTTTTCTATTTTCTGTGTGCTCCCATTTGTCTCGAGATATCTCATGCTGCCGGGCCATGTTGTAATCTGCATGTTCTGAGGCTCTTCATGGACTCTTCTCTTCTTCTTCTTGTCAGGCCCAAAGTGTGTGTGCTGGGCTCCCGGGAGCAGCTGTGTATTCACCCTGAAGTGAAGAAGCAGGAGAGTAACCACATGCAGGTGAGCTTTGGGGCACTCAGTTTCCATGATTCTACTGATTGGGTGGCGCCTGGATCTTAGAATCCAGAATTATGCTCCTACAGATGCTAACCCTGGCTGTTGTGCTCCCTGCTGGGCTGCGTCAGGGCTTAGAGAACACAGGGAAGAATGACAAAGGGAAACTGGTGGTGAGGGCCAGAGATGGACCATTCCTTAGCCATTCTAGGTGAGCTCTGTCTTCCCTCTTACAGATCCATTTATGCCGCAAGAAGGTAGCAAGTCGCTCCTGTCATTTCTACAACAATGTGGACGGTAAGATCACCTCCTGTAAGCTGTTCTTTCCTACTGTTGTCAGAGTTTGGGTGAGTTCAGTAGCACCATAACCTATCTGCTTTACCCTGTGGGACAGAGAGTGGCTATGTACCTAGGTACTGTCTTTCGGATGTGAGGGTTGCCTGCATTGGTGTTATATGGAGAAAAGCTCATGCAGTTCAGGATCCAGCACTCAGGAATGGCTCGCACCATCCGGTGACCTGTTCAAACAGGGTTCAGTTCAGGATCCAGCACTCAGGAATGGCTCACACCATCCGGTGACCTGTTCAAACAGGGTTCATATTGAGTACCTGCTTTCCGTCTGGGAGCCTGGGCTATACCTGACAGAAACGCCTTTGACCAGTCTCCCAGAGAACTAGAACACGGAGTCTCCTATAAGTTGCTCAGTTGACAGTGTCTCCCAGGTGTCATGACTTGGTGCCAAGAGTTAAGCATAGCTATCTTCCCCGAAGTTTCTCTCCTCCCTCTCTTTCATTTGCTGGCTTGTGACAAGACAAGCTTCTTACTGTGTCCCTCATTGTTTTCTGTAATCTGGGGGGTCAGTCATACCTCTGCGTAACTGGGGGCTTCAATCTCTATAGGACTAGACTTCCTTTTATTTCTTGCCCTGATATGGAGGCTGAGATTCCCATATAAAGTAGGTGGGCTCTGGAGCAGTCTTAAGGCTTTGATGATCTGAGGGCTACTGTCTTCTTTGATGCTTATTGAGTGCCCAGGGCACTAGGATTGAGGTCTTTGCTTCTTCTGTCAAGCCTGAAGCCTGAGCTCAGGGGAGAGGGTCTCCTATCACCCAGAATCTTTGTTGAGCCTCTCGGATAAGAGATAAGATATGACATGGCTCTGTGGTGAGCTCCTCAGCTGTGGTCCTTCTTGCCTGCTTTGTTTTTTGGTCTGATGTCACTGAAGACTCTTAGTTGTCTCAATGTGTAGTTGTCCAGGCCTGGGATATGGGTGTGTAACTGTGGCAGCCCTCGGGTCTCTGTTTCTGGATACTGTGAGTATGGACCTAATAACCATTTTGAAATTCTCCATGATCAGAGTTGTCATTCCCTGTCCTTGTTAGCTTCCTAAAGGGATCTGTGGGAAACAGGACGGTATGTACAGACAACACCAAGCATTTCTGCAGTGGCCTGCTTACAGATAGTCCTCTGGCCTGTGGCCACTCTCCTGTCTCCTGGTGGGAGACTGCTGACTATGTAAGTTCTTCCATGGGTGTTGGGTTGTCTGGGAGGTCTGCCTGCCTGCCTTCCTGCCTGCCTGCCTTCCTGGCTGCCTGCCTTCCTGGCTGCCTGCCTGCCTGCCTGCCTGCCTGCCTTCCTGCCTGCCTGCCTGCCTTCCTGCCTTCCTGCCTTCCTGCCTTCCTGCCTGCCTTCCTGCCTGCCTTCCTGCCTTCCTGCCTGCCTTCCTGCCTGCCTGCCTGCCTGCCTGCCTGCCTTCCTGGCTGCCTGCCTGGCTGGCTGCCTGCCTGCTTTCCTGCCTGCCTGCCTGCCTGCCTGCCTGCCTGCCTGCCTGCCTGCCTGGCTGCCTGCCTGCCTTCCTGGCTGCCTGCCTGCCTGCCTGCCTGCCTGCCTGCCTGCCTGGCTGCCTGCCTGCCTGCCTGCCTGGCTTCCTGCCTGCCTGCCTGCCTGCCTGCCTGCCTTCCTGCCTTCCTGCCTTCCTGCCTGCCTGCCTGCCTGCCTTCCTTCCTGGCTTCCTGCCTGCCTGCCTTCCTTCCATTTCTTTTTTCCTTCCTTCCTTCCTTCCTTCCTTCCTTCCTTCCTTCCTTTCTGTATATGATGTTTTGCTTTTTTGTGTTTCTGTGTATCACTTGAGTGCCTGGTGTCTGCAAAGGCAAGAAGAGGGCATTGGATCCCCTGAATTTGAGTTATTGACAGTTGTGAGCTACCATGTAGGTACTGGAAATCAAACCTGGAACCTCTGGATAGCAGCTAGTTCTCTTAACTGCCAGCCATCTATCCAACCCCACCTACCCCCTCTTTTGGTCTTCCAGTTTCTACCGTCCAAGTACTAGGATGATAGGCATGTGCCAGCATCCCTGGCTTATGCAGTGCTGGGGATTAATCCACAGTTTTGTTGTGTATAGGGAAGAGTTCTACCAACTGAACCACATCTCTAGCCCTGGAAGGTGTTCTGTCTTCTCACCTTGTCCATCTCTCTGCTTACAGCCCTCCTTTCTGGTTCTGCCTCACCTATCCCTTGACCTGTGCTTGTCTGATTCATTCATTCTCTCTGTCTCTCTGCTCCATCCTGGCTTCCTCCAGTCACACTCCTGGCAAAGGAGGTGGATATAAGTGTTCTTGTATAGTTCCTGTGGGAACATCCTGGTCAGTTTTCCACACTGTGTAGGTCAGTATTTTGATGCCTATAAGCTTCATGTTCTGATCTACATCTATCATAACTCGGATCTACATTGTCCTTTCCCTTTACAGGTCTCAAGGGGTGAGGGAGTTTTGACCACAGCAATGGTCCTGAACCCCTTCCTCAGAGCTCTGTTCCTTTTGAGAGAAAGAAGCCATTCCACCTGGCTTAACAGCTCTGACCTCTCTGTGTCTTAGGCTTCTTGGCTTAGTTTTATGCCCTACAAACCAGCTCCTTTTGCACTTATCTTTGGTTGTCTCACTGCTTGGCCTTTTGGATGGCTGCTTACCTGTGAACTTGCTTGTCTGTTCTTGCAGGCTCATTAGCTGGCCAGTGTTGCCTATCTTTGGAATAGGAAGCAGCCCCATGGAGGCTTCTAGAGGAAGGTTTCTTAGGGTTTATTTTATCTTATAGTTTGTGGTACATCATCTAGGGAAGCAGGGTAGGAAATTCAAGGTAGGGACCTGGAGGCTGGAAGCAGAAGCTGTGGAGAGATGCTGCTTACTATTTACTTGTCTTACTTTCATGTAAGGACCAGGTGTAGTCAAAAATTTCTGTCCTACTCACTCCTGCAGCCGTTCAGTCCCAAAGAAACACACAGAGGCTTATCTTAATTATAAACTGTTTGGCCTATTAGCCCAGGCTTATTATTAACTAGCTCTTACAACTTAAATTAACCCATAATTCTTGTCTGTGTTTAACTGCATGGCTTGGTACCTTTTCTCAGTGAGGCATTCTCATCTTGCTTCCTCTGTGTCTGGCTGGTGACTGCATCTCTATGCCTTTCCTCTTCCCAGAATTCTCTTAGTCTGGTTGCCTTGTCTATACTTCCTGCCTGGCTACTTAAGGACCTTTCTGCCTTGTGCCTTGTAGCCCGCACAGATGGTTCCTATTCCTAAGCTGCTGTTGTAAGAAACGGAATGGACTACAAGTTGAACTGGGTAGGCTCTACCTGAGTGCCCTGCTTATGGCATTCAAGGTGTCAGCTTTTTTGGTGCCAGTCTCAGGTCCACTGATTGGTAGAAAGCTAGGGCAAGCAGTACTGTTTCATTCATTCATTGTTTATTTACTCATTATTGTTATTGTTATTATTATTGGTTTTTAGAGACAGGGTTTCTCTGTGTAACAACCCTAGCTGTCCTGGAACTTACTCTGTAGACAAGGCTGCCTTGAACTCACAGAGATCCGCCTGCCTCTGCCTCCTGAGTGCTGGATAAAGGCGTGCATCACCATGCCCAGCCTATCTTTTTTTTTTTTTTTTTTTTGGATTTTTCGAGACAGGGTTTCCTTGTAGCTTTTGAGCCTGTCCTGGAACTAGCTCTTGTAGACCAGGCTGGCCTCGAACTCACAGAGATCCGCCTGCCTCTGCCTCCCGAGTGCTGGGATTAAAGGTGTGCGCCACCAACGCCCGGCCCCAGCCTATCTTTTATGCTCTGCAAACGATGATGAAAAGTTGTGAGCCTCAACCATCTGTAATGAGGTCTGGTGCCCTCTTCTGGCCTGCAGGCATAAATAAACAGAACATTGTACACATAATAAATAATATTAAAAAAAAAAAAGAAAGAAAGAAAAGCTGTGAGCCTGTGGACTGCTCTGCCATACTCTGCCTCAGGGAGGCTTATGGTCTTTCCTGTCCTGTTTTGTGATGTCCAAGGGTAGACCGGCTGCTTGGGACCTTGTGGAGATATTGGTACTTTAGACTGCTACCTGTCTCCCAAATACAGAGCAGGGCTCTTTTGAGATTACTTCAGGTTATGGTCTCTCCTGGGGAGATGTACCAGAAAGAATCTGGTAAGTTCAAAAGTTACAGAATGCTGTATTGCCTGCTTAGTAGGTGTTCTTGTGCCCTGGGTGTCTCTTGGGGTCTTTGGACACTCAGATCGATCCTGAGCATGAGCTGACTCTATATCTTACCTGCAGAGAAAAGCCTGGAGCAAGAGTTGGTAACCCCTATCCTGGACATTGAGGACCTTGTCAAGAATGGAAGCAAACACAAGTGAGACCTCTCCCTGTGAGCCCAAGGCTGTTTTATCCTTCCTTGATGACTCTCATATGGGAAGACATAGTGTTTTCTTTTCTGTTTATGAAACTAATAATGTGAAAAAAAATTTAAGCAGTTCTGAGGAATGTAAGGTGAAAAATATGAAATCAGCTCCTGTTCCCTGTCCTTGAGCCCACTCCAGGAGGACCATTGTGAACAGTATCTGCTTGTACAAGCCCAGTGTTGTTTGTGCGTATTCTCTAAATGCTCTCTGACTTACCATGAATGGCTTTCCTTATGGTATATGAAGCTTAACTCCCTTTCTTCTGCAGATAGTAAATCTGTGGGGTTTTGTTTGAGACAGTCTCAATCCATACTGACTTAAAAGGTTTGCTCTGTAACTGAGAATGACCCTCAGCTTCTGATCCTCTTGCCTTTACCTCTCATGTGTTGGGATTATAGGTGTGCACTGCCAAGCCTGACTATACATCTATGACTTGTAGTTTTGTAGATTGAAGTGGTGTGAACTTCAACACCCAAGGCTGTGTGTAGTCTTTGCTTGTGAGGCCCTGGGGTTCCAATCCCATACTGCAAAAAAGAAAGATTGAGACTTGAGACTTTGCTATACTAAGGAAAAAGCTTTCTTTCTTCCTTCCTTCCTTCCTTCCTTCCTTGTATTTTATTTCCTATATTTCTTTTATTTCTATGGCCTGTGCCCAGGAGTGGGGCTAGATTTTGTTTTTATGGAGGGGTTTTTTGTTTTTGTTCTTGTTTTTTATTTAGGCAGAAAAATAAATAAATCCAAGCTGACTTAGAGTTCACTGTGTGACCAAGATGATCATGAATCCACCCCCACCCTGTTTTATACACACCCTGCACGTGTGTATAGTGTGTGTAGGTGTACACTCTTGGGTGTTGGTTCTTGCTCCCCCTCCCCCCAGACAAGGTTTCTCTGTGTACCTTCTGTTGCCTGTCCTGGAACTAGCTCTTGTAGACCAGGCTGGCCTTAAACTCACAGAGATTCTCCTGTGTCTGTATCCGGAGTGCTGGGATTAAAGACATACGCCACTGCCATCCGGCTGGTTCTTGCTTTCTACCTTAAGATAGAATCTCCTGTTTATCACTGAATATGCCAGACTAACTGGCCCAAGAACTTAGAAGAATTATCCTGTCTCTGTCTCCCATTTTTCTAAGATTATAGTTTCTGGCTTTATATGGATTTTGGGGATCTAGACTGTGTTCTTGATGCTTACATGGCAAGCACATTACTCCCTGAGCCATTTCACAGCCTGATGACCTTGAACTGAGCTTCAGGCTTTCAATTTTTTGCCATCAGGTTGGGTTTATTTGGTAGATGGAATTGAACCCAGGGCTGTATATATCAGGCAAACATTCTAATAACTCATTCTAATAACAACCATTATTTTTTTTGTGTGTGTGTGTGTGGTGTGTATGTGTGTGTGGTTGGTGTGGTTGTGTGGGTGTCAGAGGACAGTTTGTGGAGTTGGTTCTCTTTTTCCAACTGTATATGGATTCTAAGAATTGAACTGAGGTTATCAGGTTTATATGGCAAGTGGTTTACTTGCTGAGACATTTCCCTGACCCCATCGAGTTTTGGGTTTGGGGATTTGTTTGTTTTGAAATGTTCTCAGTATGTGACTCAGTACTATGATCCAGAGCTCATTTTTAAGGTCAATCTGACCTGATCAGATCCCCTTACTTCTGCCTCATAAATGCTGAGAATAAAGATGTGTACCACCAAGCTCAACACCCATTAAATTTTAAGACAGGTGATACCTTTACATATTGACAAAAATCACATGGGCTGCCCTTTTTCCTAGGTACCAATTTCTTTGAGGCTCTGGGTACAGAATGAGAGTCTCTTCCTTCATCAGAGGGCAGAGTGCTCATGTAATAGTTCACTTTTTGCATATCCTGTGAAGGGACTTACAGGGTCTTCTGTCTCCTTTTACATCCAGAGTGTGCCCATACTACCTTTCTCGAAACATGAAGCAGCAAGCTGACATCATCTTTATGCCATACAATTACTTGTTGGATGCTAAGGTGAGGAGGTCGTGTTGTCTTTGTCCAGGGTTGTCCCTAGGCTTTAGAGGGGCTGCCTGAACTTTTGTTGTTAGTCCTCAGATAGCAACTGTGGAGAGGAGGCTTCTTTTCCTTCACTGTCCAGAGTCAGCTATGAATTACCAGAGCTAGGGGTTCATCATTCTTAGCTACCTGGGCATAGACAGGCTAACTAGAATGGGAAGAGCCAATGTTTGCCTCCTTGGTTTTGACAGTTCGTCTCAGTCACTTTCAGATCAGATCATAGGAAGTTCAGATAACAGAAACTTGAGCATTTTTGCCCTCTCTAATGTTCTGTTTGTTTGTCTGGCATCTTTTTGTGCACTACTCATTTCATTTAATATAGCTAGAATTTTTCAATTATGTCCAACAGTGAAAAAAATATATATATATAAAGTGTGTGTGTGTGCAAATACATGTGCATTGTGTACGTGGATATCAGAAGATAATTTGGAGGAGTTAGTTCTCCCTTCTACCATTTGAGACTGAACTGAGGTCTTCAGACTTGACAAGTGCCTCTACCCACTGAACCTTCTTGCTGGTTCTCAAGGATTTTTTTCCCCCCTAACATGTGGACAAATATATCTAAGGTTGACTTCTAACCTGCTATATAGCTGAGGGTGGCTTTGCACTTTTGATTCTTCTACTTGTACCCTCCTGAAGTTTGCAATTGTAGGCATGTTCTACTAGGTCTGTTTTATGTAATGTTGGATATAAAACCCAAGGCTTCATGCATGTTAGGCAAGCACTCCCTTAGTCTTCTTGGCTCTCATAGCTGAAGGTATGCTCCATGTGTTCAGTAACCTTTACTGTCAGTAATAACTTGGTGGGCATCTTTTGTTTTGAATCCCTGTGGTAAATATTCTCAAGAACCTACAGTGCATCTCATGTCTAGAGTCGGGGGAATAGATAGCAGAAGATGCTGTTGGAGGTAACCAGAGTAGACAGAAAGAAGCTCCAGTGGATGTGGAACCTGCCATCTTGCTGGCCTCAGCTTGGCAGTTTTGAAGAACTAGGTTAGCAATCATTGCAAAATCCAGAATGGCGGGTACGTGTGCACAGCTCAGTGAAGTAGTGGTTACCATAGGTTTCTGACATACTCACCAAAGGAGTTCAGTGGGGTTTTTATCTGATCTTCAAAATATGGTGTTGGAATAGGTGGATTATTCATTTGGAAAAAATGAGTCTTACTCCTTCTCACTGTGCAAGTCTAAATGCAAAGGCGAAGACTGAAAGTTCTTGAAGGAGTAGGGGAGTCTATGCAGCTACAGAGTACGTTAAGATTTTGTTTATTTATTTGGTTTGGTAATTTTTTAAAAATTTTTGGAACATCATCTCTATATCCTAGTCTAGCTTGAAGTCATGGTCCTGTTGAGTGTGGGGTTATAGGTGTGTGACTCTGTGCCTGGCTTGAGGCTGGCGACTCTTTATTTCATACTCATTTTCATAGTATTAGTCATAAAGAAAAATTAAAAAGTTAGACTTCATCAAAATTTCAAGCTTAGACTCTTTGAAAGAATTAGGAAAATTAAGGTTTTATTATTTTGAAACAGGGTCTCATTTTGTAGTCCTGGCTAACCTGGAATTCACAGAAATTTGTCTGCCTCTGTCTCCTGATTGCTAGAGTTAAAGGTGTGTATATCACACTCTTGAGAGGTTAGTATAAACTCTACCATCAGCTTTTCCTTTCAGTAGTATTAGTTAAATTTAAAAGAAAGTTGTGAAGTATTTGTGTGTGAGTGTATGTACGTGTACATATGTACATGTAGTATATAGTGCACACGTGGAGGTAAGAGGACAACTTGCTAGAGCTGGTTCTCTCCTTCTACAATGTGGTCTCAGAGATTGAACTCAAGGCTTGGCTGTTATATGCCTTACCTTCTGAGCCATCTTTGGTACTTTTACTGTTAGTTAAATTTTTTTTTTTAGCATTAATTGTCATTGAGCAGAGGCAGGTGGATTTTTGTGAGTTCAAGGCCAGTCTGTAAGAGCTTGTTCCAGGACAGCTAGGACTGTTACACAGGAGAAACCCTGTATGAAGTGTAGGGCAACTGGAAGTCCCGGCTGTGGCTGGTGGACGTGTGGACCATGCAGTAGCTCTGTCAACACAGTTTGTCAGTGCTGGAGCTTACTTACAAACACCAGAAGTGGGAAGCAGGTCCAGGAATATCCCTATAGTAGACAATGTCAGCAGTGCAGTGTTTATACAAAACCCACATCTGTCAAAACCTAGCTGTGGTACTGGAAGCTGTCTCAATGGTTAAGAGCACTGGCTTCTCTTCTGGAGAACCTGGGTTTGATTTCCCTGAACCCAGGGTATCTCACAACTCTCTTACTAGAGTTCCAGGGGATCTGATGCCCTCCTGGCCTCACTGCATGCATGTAGTTCACAGATGTACATACTGGCAAAACACCCAGACACATACAATAAAATCTTTTTTTCCCACAGAGATCCACCTGCTTCTGCCTCCCAAGTCCTGGGATTAAAGGTATGCACCGCCACTGCTTGGCTAATAAAAATAAGTCTTTCCAAAAAAAACATAGCTGTGGTGCTGGCATGGTAATGAATTCCTGTAATCTCAGCACTCTGGAGACTGAGGCAGAAATATCATGAGAGCAAGGCCAGCCCAAGCTTAGTGGTAGAGCAGTTGAGCCTGGTTTGGTGCCTAATGTTACAAAACAAAACAAAAATATAACTATACACTTAACTTGTAGGTCCAGTTCTCTTCCTCTGCTGTCTTATAGGTTCTAGGGATAGGAATCAGGTCATCAGGCTTAAAGGTGATTTTTTTCCTGCCTAGCCATCTTGTTGGAATACCCATCCATCAACAGTACTGTACCACATACATATGGCCACAAGTATCCAACTTTGGTTAGGTTTGGGTAGGTACTTGTAATAGTACTTTCTTATTGGGACTACCAGCCCACAAATAACAACACAGAGACTTACAAATTATGAAAGCTTGGCCCTAGCTTAGGCTTCTTTCTAACTACCTTTCCTCTGTCCTGTATGTCTGATGTCCCTTTGGTGTCTTCCATACACCTAAATTCTGTCCCCTAACTTCCTCTCTCTCTGCCTGGAAGTCCCGCCTATCTCTCCTGCCTAGCTATTGTCCATTCAGCTTTTTATTACACCAGTCAGAGCAACACATCTTCATAGCACAGGATTCCGCAGCAGGTATTATAAATCTGTTTTCCATAGACAGCTTGGAGTGAGTGCCAATCTTCATAGTGGAGTACGAGGGAGAACCTTTGTTCTTTCTTCCATTTTGTGTGTGTGTGTGTCCTGTTTATAATGATTGGTGCCCACCTCATGCCTCAGGTTACCTCTTTTCCTATGTATATAGGGCTGTACTCTTAGCTGCCCTGACTCAGCTCCAGCCTGTGGTATCTTCCCTTCTTTGTAGAGTCGTAAGGCACACAACATTGACCTGAAGGGGACGGTCGTGATCTTTGATGAAGCCCACAATGTGGTGAGTCCCCTTGACTTCTATACGAAGCATTTCCTGTCTCTCCCAGCTTGCCAGATGTCTTCTGGACCCAGGTGCTGCTGCTCCCCTGTGATCTATCAGTGGCCTCACCCGGGCCAGAGACTGGCCAGTTGGGCTTTTTGTGTGCCCTTAGGTGCAGGGTCCTTATGTGAACCTCTTACTGGGCTTCTGCCCTTTTGGCCAGTTGGTAGGGCTCTCCTGGCCCCACTATCGCTTTACCATACTCTGTTGTCTTCCCTACATACCTCTGCTCTTTAGGCTACTTGGCTTGACCCTTAGGAAACTTCTGTAGCAACAGCTGCTCATCTTTGGTGCCAATAGCAACAAGAGTGAGTGGTTCCTGGAGGCCCTCCTGGGTCCCCTGTCCTTTTCATCAGCATGTTACCCCAGTCTCTGTTGTCACTGCTTCCTCGGGGTTGTGTGGAATGAACTTTCTCATCCTTAGTTGCTATGAAGCCTGGGAGGAGACTGCCGGAGAGCCAGGTCCCCAAGCATGACCTTACTTCCTACTTGGCTCCAGGCAACTGTTACTATGGGAATTCTTGGCTGATATGTGGTATCTTCTGACTTTTGAAGCCCAAAATACTGCTTTTGCTGATAAATACTCCAATTAAAAAAATTTTGGTAACTCAAGTGAAATAATCTTTTAAAATATTGGTGAGGGCAGTGAATCATCTTTGGACCAGCTTTGGCTTTACTTTAGAGACCAGGAGCCGAGGCTCTGGGGATTTGGCCGTTGTCTTTCTGCTTCCTGGAGTTCCCATTCTGCCCCCCTCTGCCATAACATGGGTTTACTTTGGCCCTCAGGAGAAGATATGTGAAGAGTCGGCTTCCTTTGACCTGACGCCCCGTGATCTGGCTTCAGGACTGGAGGCTATCAACCAGGTTTTGGAAGAGCAAGCCCGGGTGGCTCAGCAGAGTGAACTCCAGCTGGAGTTCAGTGCAGACACCCCCAGCTCAGGTAAGATTATGACCAAAAATTGAAAAGTGACGCTTGGGCCTATTGGAGGCCAATCTTAGGAGTGGAGCCTGGGCCTATTGGAGACCTATCTTAGTGGAGCCTGGGCCTATTGGAGACCTATCTTAGTGGAGCCTGGGCCTATTGGAGACCTATCTTAGTGGAGCCTGGGCCTATTGGAGACATATCTTAGTGGAGCCTGGGCCTATTGGAGACCTATCTTAGTGGAGCCTGGGCCTATTGGAGACATATCTTAGTGGAGCCTGGGCCTATTGGAGGCATATCATCTTAGAAGTATCTTCTGCATCAGTGCAGTCTAGATAGCTCTCTGTGACATGAGTTTGCTGAGAGACTTGGTTCAGGGTTCCTGTTGTGTGACTTCCTATCTGTTGATCCCAGATAAGGCTCCAATAACAGACCAAAGAAATACTTCTACCCAATCTAATTTAGTGAGTTCCAGGACAGTCGAACTAGATAGAGAGACCCTGTCTCAAAATCAGACAAGAATGACAGTGGGCCACATGAGTAAAGGGTACTCAAGGGGCAAAAGCCTCTTCTCCCTAGCAGTTGTGGCTGCCAGTGTAACCTTGAGGAGGGAGTTTGTGACTCTTGTCCATTTCAGCTTTCTGAGACTTTGAAGTTCTGTGTACTTCCTGAGTCTTATGAACTTCCCTCTTCGCTCCTCTTTCAGTTGTAGGAAAATGCTGTGTAGCATCTTCGTAGACCAGGGAGGACTGCCTCTTTGGATGCTTTCAGTCCTTTTCATTTTCTTTTCTTTGAGACAAGAGTTTCGTGTCCCTCAGACTGGCCTCAAGCTTATGTAGGAAAGAAAGGATGGGCTTTAGCTTCGGGTGCCCTTGCCTTTACCTCCCAGGTGCTGAGATTTTAAACTTAGGCCTCCATTCCTGGTTTATTTGGTGCTGAGATCAAACCCAGCACTTTGTGCGTACCAGGTAAGCATTCTGACAACTGAGCTGTCTCCAGCCATACTTCCAGTGTTTCCTGAAGTCTTTAATCTTTTCCTAGCTAATTTTTTGTTTTGTTTTGTTTGTTGCTTTTTGAGACAGGGTCTCTCAGCATAATCCTGGCTGTCTTGGAACTCGCTATGTAGACCAGGTTTGCCTCAGAGATCTGCCTCTCCTGCCTACTGGGATTAAAAGGCATACATCACCATACCCAGCTCTGCTTTTAATTTTAAAGCAAAGCATAGGTACAGGAAATCAACAAAAAAAAAGTCATCTTTGGCTGCTTTAGTTTATAACCACAGTGTTACAGATACAGAGACAGGTGAAATCTGGTAGCTCACTGGCTTGCCAGCCTAGCCAAAACACTGAGTTTCAGGTTCAATGAGAGACCTTCTTTTAAGGAAATTAAGCTGATGAGCAATTGAGGAAGACAACTGTTACCGTCCTTTGGGCACTATGTGCACAAGTGCTGATAGACACCGATATGCACACAGGCATATATGCATACAGCACACACAAAAGAAAATAGATCACTTATAAGATACATGATGAACTGAACACCCAGGGAACTGCCTCCAATCAAGAAGGAGGTTGGCCATCAAGCCATAGCTCTGCTTCTCTGAGTGGTCTCTTACCCAACTTCTAATTCATCTTTTTTGTTGTTTGTCTTTTTTTTTTTTTTGGTTGTCTTTTTTTCAAGACAAGGTTCCTCTGTGTAATACCCGTAGCTGTCCTGAAACTAGCTCTTGTAGACCAGGCTGGCCTTGAATTCACAGGATCTGCCTGCTCTGCTTACCAAGTGCTGGGATTAAAGGCGTGTGTCACCACCACCCGGCTTATAATTCATCTTTAATGGCTCATGGCTACCTTCTCCTTCCTTTTCTTTGGTAATGTTGTGACTATTTGATGCCTAGATTCAGTAAATTATCAGTTATTTCAAGGTGGTGATGTCTCATTCAGCCCTTTAATTTTATAGCAGCAATAATGTAAAGATTTGTCAGCTCTGTGGTGGCACTGTTCATAGTGGAAAAGATGAACACACACTGCCCATTTCAGTTCTGAAAGCTTGAGTTGATTCTAAATTAGTGATTGCTGTCTTCAGAGGGGAACAGTGTTTAAATAGCATGTCTGAACACTGATTAGTTTTCTCCTTGTCGTAACAAAATACCTAACCAAAGCAACTTAGGAAGAAAGAATTATCTTGGTTCATATTCTCAGAGTATAGCCCATCATAACTGGGGCTTTGTAGTGACGAGGGCTTGAGCAGCTGGTGAGTTTGTAGTCGGGAGTCAAAAGTGAGGGGAGAAGGGAGGGAATGAGAGGGAAGAGAGCGAGAGAGATGCTATTGAACCTCACTTTCTTTCTTGAGACAGGGTTTCTCTGTGTAGCCCTGGCTGTACTGGATCTCTACGTAGACCAACCTGGCCTGGAACTCACAGAAATCCTATTGTCTCTGCCTCCTAGATGTGCACCACACCACCACACCCTGCGTTTTGCTCTCTCTTCCTTCCTTTCCTTTCTTTCTTTCTTTCTTTCTTTCTTTTGTCACCTTTTACTTTTTATTTAGTCTAGAACTTTAGCCAGTGGAATGGCTCTTCCTAGAAACTTCTTTTATGAACAGACATGACCAGAGATTTTTGTCCTAGCTTATTCTCGAGTTTATCAGGTTGACAATATTAACCAATATTAATCATTACTCATCTGTGGTTGACTCAGTATCCCACTGCAATCCTCTTGAAGGTATTCTGTGTCCTGCTAACCTGGCCTAGCCACTGTGCTTGTGATACTCTACTGCTTCCTGCCCAGACCTGACACATGCTAGCCTCCAGCAAGCCCTGGCTTTCCTTCCGATGTTTCATTCTCTTCTCTATCCTCATATGTCCTCATATGTTCTGTCTGAGCGCATGTGAGCACATGCTGATGATTACTGCCCATTAATTATTTTTAAGACTTTCGGGAGCAGAGTATGAAGAACCTCTGTACATGGATGTATTTATGTGTATTTCTAAATGTGAACGTGGGCTCATACTGTTGTGTCCAATTCAAATGTGGATCCCACCTAACCTCTCATCCACCTACCCTTTCTACCACACTGGGAACTCTGGTTCTTGAAGCTAGAACCCTGAGGAATTGTATACCTACTTTCTCACCCAGGGTTCAACATGGAGCTGGAAGACATCGCAAAGCTGAAGAGTAAGTGTTTCTCCTCCTTCCCCTTCGGCTGGACGGGAGGCATGCCCCTGACGTGCCCTTGATCCACAGTGATCCTGCTTCGCTTGGAGGGGGCTATTGATGCTGTCCAGCTGCCTGGGGATGACAAAGGAGTCACCAAACCTGGAAGGTGAGGGACAGATGCTGACCTCATTACCCCAAGTCCTGTTTAGGGTTGGAGGTAGTGTCCTCATGAGGTTCTGTCTGAGTACTTCACCCAGCAGTGGGGTCTGGTTTCAAGTTTCAAGGCTTAAGAAGAGTTACCAGGTTTTTAAAAAGGTTTTATTTTTCTTTCTGTATGTGTGTGGGGGTGTGTGTGTGTGTGTCTGTGTAAATGTGTGCCTCGTGTGCTGGTGGCTGTGAAATTTAGAAGAGGGTGTTGGATGTCTTGGATCTAGAGTTATAGTTGTGAACTACCCTATATGGGTTTTAGAAACCAAACTCAGGTCCTCTGGAAAAGGAGCAAGCACTCTTAACCACTGAGCCCTCTCTCTCTCTCTCTCTCTCTCTCTCTCCCTTTCCTTTCCTTTCCTTTCCTTTCCTTTCTTTCCTTTTTTGATTTTTCCAGACAGAGTTTCTTTGTAGCTTTGGGGCCTGTCCTGGAACTTGCTTGTAGACCAGGCTGGCCTCAAACTCACAGAGATCTGCCTGCCTCTGCCTCCCGAGTGCAGGGTTTAAAGACGTGTGCCATCACTGCCCGGCTCAGTTGCCAGCTTTTTATGTAGTCATTGAAAACATTGGGAGTAACAACACACACTACTGCACAGTGTCTCCTCCAGCTTTTCCCTCCAACTCTCTCTGGCCCCTTGTTGATACATTAAGTGCCAGTTAGAACTAGACTTTTTCTTTGGGACTGTCTGTGCTATTACTGAGGCCTGTGTAGGGCTCTTGGGTTGTTTTTCCTGAACAATTGTAGGTATCCTGGAGAGACTCTAGCTGGGGCTGAGGGGTTGCTTTTATGAGCACACAGCCAGTAGCTGTGCTAGGACCTGGTCTGGGTAATGGATGTTAAAGCATTTTCTGGGGTCTGGAGCTTCCTACCGTCTCCCTGAGCACTAACCTGGGTACTCCCACTTACTTCCAGATAAGCCAGATACACCAACCTGACCTAGGTTCTAGTGTGCCTTCTTGGCCTTCTCTACCTGCACCTGAAGACCCTGCCATAGCCTCCCCTATTCTGTGGCATCTCTTCCCAAGGTTCTTAGAGTTACTACCCAGAGTTATTGCCTCTAAGGACCTGCACTCAGGCCACCCCCGATTGTGGTCTCTCACCCAGGTGCCTGGTGTTTTACTTAGTAGGTCATGATTCTCATGACAGTAACTCACTGTCCTCTGCCTACCAGGAGATTACTGAAAGGAGAGCATCTTATCCCCAATGCTGGTCTTGTTGAAGTACTCAGCAATTATTGATGAGTGCAAGAAATTTGAAGGCCACCCACCTTGTAGGTTCACAGAAACCACAGCCTTGCCTCCTCAGTCTCAAGCTTCTGTTCTTCTCTTTGGCAGCTACATCTTTGAGCTGTTTGCTGAAGCCCAAATAACATTTCAAACCAAAGGCTGCATTTTGGAATCACTGGACCAGATAATCCAGCACCTGGCAGGACGTGAGTCTTGGGTTGCCTATATGGAGGAGTATGTCAGGCTAGTGGTTTTCTTGTAGAAGAACAGGGTGGGGGTTTGTAGTAGGGAGCTGCGGGTTGCATTCTGCCACCCAGCTCCCGCCACTGGCTAGCTTTACCTGAAATAACAACATACAAACTGTATTCATTTAAATAATGCTTGGCCCATTATATCTAGCCTCTTCTTGGCTAACTCTCGCACCTGGACTAGCCCATTTCTAATAATGTGTGTAGCATCCCAAGGTGCGCTTATCGGGAAGATTCTAGCCTACATCCATTCTGGGTCGGAGCTTCATCGCGTGTGCCCGGGAGAGGGGAGCATGGCCTCTGCTCCAGAGAGCAGAGCTGTCGAGTCTGAGCTCACTTCCTCTTCCTCCCAGCATTCTGTTCTGTTTACTCCACCCACCTATGTTCTAACCAATAAAATGGGCCAAGGCAGTTTCTTTATTAGCCAATGACCTTCCTCCATCAGGGGTTATTGTTCCATGTCCAGCAGTCAGCACAGGTTGGAGAGTAGCACTTGGCTCCCAGTGTCAACAGGTCGCTGTCATGCCCTCCTTATGAACAAGAATCCAGTCAGTGAAGCTCCCAACCAACTCACCCTGCGTGCTTGTTTATTTATTGTTGGGTAGTTCTGGAGAGTGAGCCCAGGATCTCATTCATGGTAGGCAATGCTCCATCCCTAGCCCTTGGATTTCTGGGAGAAGTTCTTGCTATATATCTCGGCTTTGAACTTGATCCTCTTGCCTTTGTCTCTAGAGTTCTAAGATTACAGGATTGGCCAGAGTCTTTTTCTGATGGAGACGCGGAGGCGGCAGTGACATTTGGCCAACCTTATGCTCTTTGGCAGCTTTCCCATTTGTGCGTTCTTTCTTTCTTTCTTTCTTTCTTTTCCTTCCTTCCTTCCTTCCTTCCTCTCTCCTTCCTCCTTCCTTCCTTCCTTTCTTTCTTTCTTTCTTTCTCTTTTAGATTTATTTATGTTCTGCTTGCATGTCAAAAGAGAGTTCCGTTCTCTCCGAGTGTACACACGGGGCTCTGCCTCTCTCCTCCTCTCTCTCCCTTCTTCTCTTTCTCCTCTCTCTCTCTCTCTCTCTCTCTCTTCCTCTCTCTCTTTCCCTTTCTTTCTCTCCTTGTTAATAAATTCTTATATGGCTATAAAAAAAAAAAGAGAGAGAGTTCCGAAATTCATTATAGATGATTGTGAGCCACCACGTGGTTTCTGGGAATCGAACTTAGGACCTCTGGAAGAACAGTCAGTGTTCTTAACCCCTGAGCCATCTCTCCAGCTCCCTATGTTTGGTTTCTTACTATAGTATGTCCTAGTTAGTCACCTTTTACGAAGGAATATCAGAGATCTTAGTGGATTAAGTGAGATGTGGTCCTCTCTGACTTCTCCCCCAATTTCCGCCTACTTTGGGAGATCCAGTTTCCAAAGGATAGTGTTTTGTTTTTTTTTTAAATGATTTATTTTATTTTATGTGCTTTGTGTGAAGGTGTCAGATCTCCTGGAACTGAATTTACCGACAGTTGTGAGCTGCCATGTGGGTGCTGGTAATTGAACCCAGGTCCTCTGGAAGAGCAGCCAGTGCTCTTAACCTCTGAGCCATCTCTCCATGCTAGGGCAGTGTTGTTATGGGCTGTTCTGCGGAGTGGGGTGAGGTCTGCAGTACCGCATGCGGCAGTGTCTGCTATGCGCTAGGGGACAGCAGCCTCCCCCCCCCCCCCCCCCACACACACACCATTGGACCTCGCAGTTATTTGGAAGCCTGTACTCCTTTGGGGAGATTCCCCGTATGACTGCTCCTTGACACCAGGAAGAACAGGTCATCTGCCTTCCTTAGCATCCTGTCGTTGATCTTGATTATGGGGAGTCTGGTTACTTCAGCAGACGTGAGGTAGTGAATCTGTGCTGGCTCCTTTTAATGTGGGACTCAGTCTCTTCTGCTTGTGTGGGTGCCAACTCTCCCATGCTCCACAGGTCCTGGTGTGTTCACCAACACGGCTGGGCTGCAAAAACTCATGGACATTATCCAGGTAGGAGACTGCTTTCAATTACTGGGGAGTCTCTGTTTCTGCAGGTGACAGCAAGGGCCTCAGGAAATGGACAAAGGTCCTCATATCACATGACTATGGTTAACAAACCCTTAAGTACCTGTAGACCTCAGTGGGAGGTGACTGAGAACAGATTGGGACATTTTTGACTGTTCAGCGACCAGATACATCAGAGTAGTGCTCTAGGATCAAGGTCCTGTGAAGAGTGAGGTCAGGAGTGATTTAGACTCCACTAGTGCCCCGTGGGGCTAGGCAGGACCTCCTTGTTCATAGCAGCTCCAGATAGATTCAGACTGGGAGAAATCCAGAAGCAAATGACCTGAGTGGCTTCTCAGAGAAAAGACAAACGGGCCCTCTAAGTGCCATGGTCTGTGTGTCCCTAGCACACAGGAATAACTATGGAGCCACCGACAAAGACAAAGACAAAGGTGGAGCTGTAGAGCCTGACAGAGAAGCATGTGCTCTCTCACCACCTCATCAGGTCTCTTCCTGCCTGTCACTGCTGCTTTGGTGCCTTCCCTCTCCATGTCTTTGTGATACCCAACTGTCCTCAGGTGCAGTGCAGATGTCTCATTGCAACTGTGTTCTCAACTCTAGTGAGCCAGCCTGGCTGTCCTCAGCTCTAGTGAGCCAGCCAGTCCTGGCCAGACAGTTGAGGCTTTGGGTGTCTTAAGCTGCACCTTAAACCTTGCTAAATTTTTTGGTTTTTTGTTTTGTTTAGTTTAGTTTTGTTTTTTGTTGTTGTTATTTTGTTTGTTTGTTTTGAGACAGGGTTTCTATATGTAGTTCTAGGACTCCCTCTGTAGACCAGGCTGGCCTCGAACTCACAGAAGTCCACCTGTCTCTGCTTCTTGAGTGCTAGGATTAAAAGCATGTACCAGCACTCCTTTTTTTTTTTTTAATCATTTTTGTATGTTAGTGGTTCTTTTTACCTATATGTGTGTATACCACATGTGTGCCTGGTGTCCATGGGGTCAAGAAGAGGGGGCCAGATCCCCTGGAAATGGAGTTATAGGTCACCATATGGGTGCTGGGAATCAGACTTGAAAGAATAATCAGTGCTCTAACCGCTGAGCTGTCCTTCCAGCATACTGCCTACCCTGATAAGTTTTAAATAGAAGTTCTTAATATTCCTAGCTTTGAGCCAGGTATAGCCGTGTTTGCCTTTAAGACCAGCACTTGAAAGGCAGAGGTGGGCAGATCTCTGAGGTCAAGGCCAGCCTGGTCTGCATAGTGTGTTCTAGGTCAGCCAGTGTTACACAGTGAGAACCTGTCTTGTTTTGTTTTGTGTTAAGGGTTTTTGGATGGGAACTGTTAATCCTGGGGAAAACTGAGGCAAGCCAGTCCTTTCATGTATGGTGCTGTGTGAAGCCACCTGGTTGCTCTACCCATGGTATATAGCTCCAGACCACTGGGGATTATGGCTAGTGAGCAGAAAGTGCCTTGGCTTTGTGAGCACAAAACAAATCCTCTTACTGAAGAAGAAATCTGTGAATGTTTGGATCCTCAGTAAGTCTGATTATGATATATTGGGCCACAATGAGCCAGGGACTGCCTTCTCATTGAGCACAGACCTGGCCAGGGGCCAGGCATGTGTGGTAGGTAAGAGAGCTGGGTATGTGCTCAGGCCTGCTTCTTCTCAGCCAGCTTTGGGATAAGGGACATCGCAGTCTTAGCCTTCCACTCCATGAGTGGCAGCATTGCAGAAAGTTTCGGTACACCGTTGTCCTCCAGACTGGGCTCACCCCTCCAATAACTTCTCCAGAGGCACAGTAGGCATCTTGCGTCCCAGGATGGTTACCTATGTGTGACTGTTGTGTCTGTGACTTCTTGCTGTCTAGGTCTGCTGTACACCCACAGCCAGGCCACTCAGCCATCCTGTCTTAGAGCATGCATTGCCCCCAGTGTAGGAAGCCTGGCCCCTACTAGGCAGATTGCTCTCTGCTGACCAGCAAGGGCCTTCCAAGAATCCACTCTACTTCCCACTGAGCTCATCCTCAGGTCTAGTCACAAGAGGAGGCCCTGCTATTCCCAGACCTGAACCTAGAGGGCTCATGTGAACAGTATAATCTCTGTTCTCCACTTTGTTGATAAAAGGGATATCTCCCTTATCCATGCCTTTTGGAACATAGACCTGCTTGCCCAATGGTTTGGAATCTCTTTAGCAGCTGCTCCAAAGGCCCCTGGTACTTTCCCTGCCCCATCCTGATACTGTGCTAAGTAGATCCTTGCTAGCATGTTCCTCAGCAGTTGAAAAGGTGTCTGGTGAGTTGCTTTTCTCTCGACTGCTTCTAGCATAATTGTCGGTGCTAGGAGTTCTTGTCAGGACATGAGAATGAGCACAGAAATGCTGCTTGTCTCAGAGCTGGGTGCTAGTCAGATTTTTGTCAGACAAGAGAAGGTTCCACCAGACGTAGAGCTTGAGGCTTCTAGACTGGCATCCTTTCTTTTCCCCCTGTTGCTAACCTGGGTCAGACACGTAGTGGGCATTCACACTTTTTTTTGTTGTTGTTGTTGTTTTGTTGTTGTTTTTTTTTTCATTTAAACACTGCTTGGCCCATTCTCTTCTAGGCTAATTCTCACATATTAATTTAGCCCATTTCTAATCATCTGTATGGCACCCCAAGGTGTGCTTACCAGGAAGATTCTAGCCTATGTCCATCCTGGGTCGGAGCTTCATCCCGGGAGCGGGGCATGGCGTCTCTCTCAGGCGTCTGCTCCCGAGAGGAGAGCTATCGAGACTGAGCTCACTTCCTCTTCCTCCCAGCGTCCTGTTCTGCCTACTCCTCCCACCTATCTTTCAACCAATAAAATGGGCCAAGGCAGTTCCTTTATTAGCCAATGACCTTCCTCCATCATTTCCCCTTTTTCGGTTTAAACAAAAAAAAAAAAGACTTTAACTTTAACATAGCAAAATTACATATAACAAAACAGTTATCAAGTAAAAGTTACAATAATCTTTATCATAACTAAGGAAAACTATAACTATAACTAACCATTCTTCAAGTTTATCAAAGACTCCAGAAGAATATAATATTACCTAAGTAAACAAGAAATCCAAAGCTCTAGAAATGACAGAGACATCTCTCTGCCTGTACAGTCACCCAAAGTTCCTCTGTACCGTTGGGGCATCCATCTTCAGCCTTCAGGCCCATAGTATCCAGCAGACATTTCCATGAAGCAGGTAATTTCAAAGACAGTTCAGTCACTATCTGCTGTGTCCTGCAGAATGTCTTGCAGACTCTTTCATGAGTCATGAACCCCAAAAGACTGTCTCACCTTTAGGCAAGTTCAGCAGTCCTCTCTCTGCGGGTTCTCTTTGTCCAGTTTATGCAACAATTCAGGCAAGAACCGTTTCTTGCCCAAATGGCTATCAAACTCCATAAGGATCCTCTTCGATGCCCATCTTCTTCTTGAAGTAGATTGGTGCTGCCAGGAGCAGACGTGTCTCATAGTCATGAAAAGTCCTAAGTTATTAAAATATTTTAAATGCCATATTCTGCAGCCTTTGAGAGATATGAAGAATGTCTATCTAACTGAAATGTATCCCTATATATCTAGAAAAATCTAACTAACGTGACTACAAGCTTGACTATTACTGATGATTATCCATTAACCTATATTTCTTAATTATACATTACATTATTTAATGAACTACACAATCACAATATCTTAATAGCAGAAATATGCATATACATATAACAAAATTGACCTTAAATCTCTATCAATAAAGCAAAATCTATACTAATACAAATTATTCATATCTATATCATATCCCCCTTTAAATGTTAAAGAACGTTTATAAACCATATTTGGGAACATGGGCGCAGTTTTTTCTCTCCAAACTGCTTCCTGCTGAATGGGGGCGTCGTTAATTAGGTCTTTCATGGTATAACCTGTGTGCTAGTTTCATCTCAGTTGGCAGTTGAGCGAAGCAATTTTTTGAAGGCGTTCACACCAACCCTTCAGGAGGGCGTGGTCCATCATACCACATCGGAATAGAAGAAATGAACAGCGTCTCATCCTCTGTGAAAACAAAATAAGAAAGTCCTTTCCAAAGCATCATGTCCTTAGATCCAAATTTCAAAGTCAAGGCATCAAAATATCTATGTTGGATTAGTTCAGCAGCATTTATAAATAAATATCTTTTAGCATCTGTTGCTCCTTCCTCAGCATTTAAATAATTTAAAGAGAGCATAATAGCATACAGTATCAAAATTCTCTGTGTATTTTCCATCTTTGTGCAGCTTTGTTTTAACCTCTATTTTGTTTATTTTTACTTAACTCTTTGCTTTTTGAGACAGATTCTCTGTATCTTTGACCTGAAGTAACTCTGTAGACCAGGCTGTTTTTGAACTCTCAGAGATCTGCCTGACTCTGCCTCCCAGGCATTGGGATTAAAGGTGTAAGCTACTATACCTTGAACTCACAGAGATCTGTTTGTCTCTGCCTTCTAGGCACTGGGATTAAAGGCGTGTGCTACCTCACACAACAACTCTCTTCCTTTTTTTTTTTTTTACTTTAAGAACTTTAAATTTTAGTCTGCATATATTTTTAACACACTTTAAACCATTCAGAAATTTTCTCTGTCTTTGAATCTCTCTTTACTGTATATCTCTCTTTTTCTGACCACATGAATCTTTAATTTACCAAGCAATCTCAGTAGGACTAAAGGCGTGGCTTTGCCAGCTAGATCCAGTCCATTCCTTAGCTTTCCAGCCTCATGGCGGATATACAGGCTGTAGCCATGTTTACTGCCACAACTGTATGGCATTTCAAGGTCCTTGCCAGCAAGTGAGCTACAACAGACAACACTCAAGTCCTCTCTCAGTAGCCGGCCCTCCTGCCTCAAACAGTCAGAGTTTGCCCTGGCAGGATGGCCCAGAAAACCGGCATTTTAAAACAACACAGGTTTTTTCCTGCTGCTGCTGAAAACCGAAAAGCATGCGTTCAGCTTTTCGTCAACACCATTTAAGTGTTTCGTGGCAGGACCTCTTAATGAGCTGCAGGGTTTTGCAGCTAAAGCTGAGTCAGGAAACCTCTCTTAGATGAGGCGCTTGCTTGCCTCTAGCAAGCAGAGCAGACCCGAGAACACAGCGAGTCTAGTTGCCATCAAACAAATCGTAGCACTTTACTCCAAATGCTCTATTCAAAAGCTCTGTCTCCCGCAGGAGCCAGACAGAGATCGCAATGGCGGCACAGCCCCAGGAAGTCGCGCTTTAAAATGACACAGCGTTTTTTCTGCTACTGTTGCCGAATCAGGAAATCTCTCTACAGCACGCCACCAACAAACAGCAAAAATCTGTGTTAAACTCTCTCTCCCTTATTTTTAAGCCTTCTCAGGTTTTTAAGTGGATTTAGTCCATCACGTCTGGGCGCCAATTGTAGTAATAAGAGCGGCGGGGCTGCGTCCCCAGCACCCCAGCCGCCCGCATGGCTAGCTTTACCCGAAATAACAACACACAAACTGTATTCATTTAAACACTGCTTGGCCCATTCTCTTCTAGGCTAATTCTCACATATTAATTTAGCCCATTTCTAATCATCTGTGTGTAGCACCCCAAGGTGCGCTTACCGGGGAGATTCTAGCCTAGTCCATCCTGGGTCGGAGCTTCATCCCGGGAGCGGGGCATGGCGTCTCTCTCAGGCGTCTGTCGAGACCACATTCACACTTTTGAACGCTCACACATGAGTGAACACGGGCACTCACACTATGGAGTGACACTTCCTCTTAACCACCCCACCGTGCTTGGGTTGCAGAACCAGTCTTAGTCTCCTGGGATTCTTGTTGATTCTTTTTCTCTTTATCTCCCACAAACCTGTCTGGTGTTTTAGGACCGGTTGATGTGTTAGTCTGAGACGTCTTTTGTTCTTTAAATTTAGATTTTTGTGTTGTGGATTCTTGGAGAAATACATGAGTTCCATGGGGTCAGGGAGCCCTGCTCTTCCCTCATGTGGTCAGTTTACATTGTTGTGTGTGTTTCTAAATTCCCCATGCAAGGCCCAGGAAGGAATGAGTTAAACCACTTCATCCCTTCAGATGGTGATGAGAATGATGAAGGCAACTCAGGAGTCTAGGTAGACACAGGTATGTTCTGAGAGAACACGGGGCCCTGTTCACCTGGCCTAAGTGGGAAGCCAGTCCTCCCTGGAGCTACTAGAGATACAGAGATTGGCACAATGGTTCCTTCCACAGCCAACAATAGGTCCAGTGGACAGTGGGTGGAACACAGTGCCTGGAGCTTCTCACACAGGCAGTGAGGGGCTTCTCCTCACAGCATACCCCTGGATAAGAGTTTGGGGTTGTCGGATTAGCCGGAGGCAACAGGGAGACAGTGAAGGAGGGTCTACCTATTAGGAAGGTCATTGGGAAGCTACCTTTGCAAGGTCTATGTAAAGAGGTCCTCTTGAGGGAAGTCAGAACCATGAGTAACACTTCCACCTGTCTCTTATTTACTTCTATTACCTGTGGATGTGGTTTTTCACTGTGATGTGCTTCTTTGATATGGCTGTGTTTCTCACTGATTTGTAGGCTTTGTAAGTCCTGTGTGCTCACCTCAGATGATAGGCGTATCTTATATCTTCTACCTGCCTTTTCTGTCTTTTGGTAGACTTGATGAAAAGGTTTCCTTGCTGCCGGAGGCTTTGTTGCTCCTGCTCATGCTGCCTAACCCATGCCTTTGGTTTCCTTTGGTTTTTGAAATCTTCTGTAGAATTCTGTGGGTTTGTATAGGGACTGGACATCTATCCACCATTCCTTTAAAGGGCACACGTGGGCCAGGCGATGGTGGCACACGCCTTTAATCCCAGCACTCGGGAGGCAGAGGCAGGCAGATCTCTGTGAGTTCGAGACCATCCTGGTCTACAAGAGCTAGTTCCAGGACAGGCTCCAAAACCACAGAGAAACCCTGTCTCGAAAAACCAAAAAAAAAAAAAAAAAAAAGGGCACAGGTGGCCGATGTCTGCTTTTATTCAGCTCTTCTGCTCTTTGATCTCTTGTTGCTGTTGTCATGTTGCTTTACTGTTTATTTTCATTTGTTGTGGTGAGTTCTGATTCTGTATGTTCCCAGTCAGATGGATTTGGGGAGGTCAACTTTGAATGTTGAGCTTCTAGATTAATCTGGAGTACCAGGAGGTACTAAAGAAGAGTGAATTGAGTTAGTAAGGGCTGTATAGGCTGCTGCATTCCTTATATGTGCAAGTGGCTCCCAGTAGGAGAACCCCAAGAGAGCTCTGGAGCCATTTTAAGGGGGGTACAGGAGGGATAAACTACTTCCCCTCAGCCTGGGTCTGTTGCCTAGTTTCATGGTTGGGCAAATGAGGCCCCTGAACATTGAGTTAGAGGGTGGACTTAGAGCAAGGTGAAGTAGCCTCGGGCTCTTGTTTGCTGGGCTAAGAGACCTTAGTTTCCATCTCAGCATGAAGGTACTTGGGATCTTGCTATGCTGTCTTGCCTTTCAGATTGTGTTCAGTGTGGACCCTCCTGAAGGCAGCCCTGGTTCTTTGGTGGGGCTGGGTATCTCACATTCTTACAAGGTAAGAGCAGCTTCCAGGATGTGTATTAGTATAGAGGTCTCGGACCTGTGGGGGTGTTGTCTAGGACTTGGGTGGGCATATATGTATGTGTGTCCTTCTAGGTACACATACACCCTGAAACCAGCCACCGGAGGGCAGCTCAGCGGTCAGATGCCTGGAGCACCACTGCATCTAGGAAACAAGGTACAAACTTGCACTGTAGGAAGTTTTCTACTCTGCCCAGCCTATGCATACTAGTACCATCATACACGGAGTCCTGTACACTGTGACCACCATGGAGTCCTGTACACTGTGACCATCATACACGGAGTCCTGTACACTGTGACCACCATGGAGTCCTGTACACTGTGACCGCCGACGGCCAGAGACCTGGGGGGAGCTGAAAGCACTGTTGCCTATCCAGAGTCACCTCGTGGGGCAGTGGCAGAACCAGGGCCCGGCAAGGCCTTCCCTCCTTGGCTTAGGGCACACTTCTATGAATTTTGTTTATTTATTTACTTATCTATTTTGGTTTTTTGAAACAAAGTTTCTCTGTGTAGCCCTGGCTGGCCTTGAACTCACAGAGATCTGCCACCGCTGCCTCCCAAGTGCATGCCACTACATCCTAAGGCTGCTTTGTAACTTACAGGCTGCAGCCTTAGCAGAAGCAGTCCAGTGGAGCTTGTGTGGATGCTGTTGTTTAAGTTGTTCTGGCCTAGAGAGAAGAAAGGGTAGAGGTGTTGAGTGTTGAGTAGGAGCTCTGGTGTGATTCTACCCCCAGGGGCCTCCCTACTGTACAAAGTACCCATTTCCAAGCGGAAACTATCCTTCATGATAGCGATGCCTCTGGAAGCTGGTGGTGCTCAGGTTCTGGGGGTGATTTCTCACCTCCTTCCCTGGAGGGTGTTTATGGGCAATGAGTTCATTGAGGTTTTTGACAGCCTCAAGTTCAAGCAGGCCAAGTTCCAACCTAGGAAGGAAATCGTCTCTGATGGCACCTACCTTTCCCTTCAGTGACTCTTAAGTTGTGGTGTTTTAATTTTTGGAACTTCAGAGACCACTGGGAATGAGCAGTGTGGATCTAGTCAGTGACCTTGCCTGTTGCCGATGTGACCAGAGTCTGGGAATTTGATTCCCTTTTTAGCAGTTATGTTTAAATGTCAAGAGTTTGGATGTTTTTCCCTCCTGTGTAATTTTGGCAGAGTAATTCCCAAGTCCAGTGCCACATGTCATGGTTTCTACAGATGTCTTTGTATCTGCCAGTATCCTGGGTCAACCTCTTCTTGCTTTCTGGACCCCTGAGAGGGACTAGATTATAGGCTAGGCTCAGGCCCCAGCTCAGACCTTGGCTTTTGTCCTGATTGTGTACCTATGCGGCTGTAGGTAGCTTGCTCTCTCAACACAGTAGATGAGGACGGTGGACCCCAGTCTTATCTTTATACCTAATTCTCCTGCAGGGAAGGTGCTGAGCTACTGGTGCTTCAGTCCCAGCCACAGCATGCGTGAACTTGTCTGCCAAGGAGTCCGCACCCTCATCCTCACCAGTGGCACACTGGCTCCCCTGTCCTCCTTCGCTCTGGAGATGCAGATGTATGAACCACCTCTGGCTGGAACCTGGTGGATGGGGGTAGGGATGTTGGCCTATATATGCCAGGGCTTCCTGTGGGCCAGCGTCCTGAAGGGTCTCAGACCTCGGGTCTTTTTATTATCTGTTTCTTCCGGCCATTCCCAGACCATTTCCTGTCTGTCTAGAGAACCCCCACATCATTGATAGGAACCAGCTCTGGGTGGGGGTTATCCCCAGAGGCCCTGATGGTGTCCAGCTGAGCTCTGCCTATGACAAAAGGTAAGGAGGACTGCTGATTTGGGGGCCTTTCTGTAGTGTTGTGGATTACTGAGATCTAGGTCTCTCATGGCAGTAACCTCTATTGTACAGGTTTTCCAATGAGTGCTTATCTTCCTTGGGAAAGGCTCTGGGTAAGTACTACTTCATACAATTCTTTGTTCCTTCCTTAGGAAACCCTGTTCATAGTTGGTCTGGTCCTAGACCCTCTACGCTATCCCATCCCATGGGGTTTAGGGACCTGGTACTCCCCAGTTTCCATTTCTGAGAACCAACAGGGTCCTCAGCCATCTTCTAAGCTTTGCCTAAACCACAGCTGTGACACTTCCAGGCAATATCGCTCGTGTGGTGCCCCATGGGCTTCTGGTCTTCTTCCCTTCCTACCCTGTCATGGAGAAGAGCCTGGAGTTTTGGCGGGTGCGTTCCCTTACATATATTCCTGAGAGATGGCGCTCCCAGTATGACTGGGCAAGGTAGTTGGGCAGAGCCATGATATAGGCTGTGGCCACTGCCCTCACCTGTCCGTTCACATCCTGGCTTTTCATCCACAGGCACAAGACTTGGCCAAGAAGCTGGAGGTGCTGAAGCCTCTGTTTGTGGAACCCAGGAACAAAGGCAGCTTCTCAGAGGTCTGTGACAAACTAGGAGTCAGGTTGTGCTTGCCTCTCTGGCTGGCTCCAGGCTGTTCTGGGCTGTGTTACCTCTTAGTAAGCCCCTGCTATGGTCTGGCATGTAGATAATGGCAGCTCGTCTTCCTGCCTGAGTCCTTGGGGTTCCCTGTGTTTTCTGGAAACTCTGGGCAGGCTCTGGGTGTTGGGTGTGCCTCTCTAGTGATGGGATCATGAAAATGCTTTCAGAACCCTTGTGTCCCACCCAGCTGAGTCCATCCTTCTCAGAAAATAAGATTTGGGTATCACTTGAGAAGGACAGGAAACTAAACTTGGCTGGCCACCCTTTTCATCTAGGTCATTGATGCCTACTACCAGCAAGTTGCTTCCCCTGGGTCTAGTGGAGCCACGTTCTTAGCCGTGTGCCGGGGAAAGGTGAGGTCTCTGCAGGTCATCTTCATTCCTACCTGTTTTCCTTGCGTAGGCTAAAACAAGACTCCTGCCTTGGGTCTTACATCCAGTAAAGTAAGTTAGTAATGAGCCCTAATAAGGGCCCTACTGGGCACTAATAGCCAAGGCCAGAGTTAGGCAGGAGGTTCTGAGTGGCAGAATTGACATGGGCCCAGCTGTGTTGGAACTTCTACTTGACTGTAGAAGGAGGCCGCTTGTTGGCTCCCAGCCATCCTGCTAGCTTAGACCTGAAATAATCACACAGAAACCGTATTAATTAAATCACTGCTTGGCCCATTAGCTCTAGCTTCTTATTGGCTAACTCTTTACATGTTAATTTAATCCATTTATATTAATCTGTGTATCGCATGCCATGCCATGTTGCTGTGGTTTACCTGGTAAAGTTCCCAGCGTCTATCTCCTGACTCCATCCTCTTTCTCCCAGCATACAGCCTAGTGTCTGCTCTTGCCATAGGCTCAAACCAGCTCTTTATTCATTAACCAATAAAAGCAACACATAGACAGAAGGACCTCCCACACCACTTGTCCATGTAGTACCTGGGATCGGTGGCTGAAAGGGTTAGGACATGGGTAGACCCCCATGTTGGCAGAGACTGTGCATTCTTTTCCTGGCTGCTCAGACCCAAAGAATCACACAGAAGAAACTGTATTAATTACAACACGGCCAATAGCTTATGCATATTTCCAACTCTTGCATCTTAAGTTAGCCCATTTCTGTTAATCTGTGAATCACCACGAGGTTGTGGCCTACCAGTAAGGTTCTGGTTGGCGGCTGGTATCTTTCTCCTTTGGCAGCTACATGGCGTCTCCTTGACTTTGTCTACTTTCTCTCAATATCTCTGTTTGGATTTCCCACCTGGCAGTACGCTACCAAACCACTGGCTGAAACAACTTCTTTAATAACCAATGGTAAGAGCCCGGTGGTGGTGGTGCACACCTTTAATCCCAGCACTCTGGAGGCAGAGGCAAGTGGATCTTTGTGAGTTCGAGGTCAGCCTGGTCTACAAAAGCTAGTTCCAGGACAGGCTCCAAAGCTACAAAGAAACCCTGTCTCAAAAAAACAAACAACAACAACAACAACAAAAAAAAAACCACAAAAAAAACCCCAAACCAAACAAACAAAATACCAATGGTAATAAAACATATTCATACCATACAGAGGGGAATCCCACATCATCTATTCTGTCTAAATAAAAAGGAGGGTTTTAACTTTAACATAGTAAAATTACATATAACAAACAAGACTTACACTTATAGTATTTATATGTGCTTTATCTTCAGCCTATGGCAGGGCAGAATAAAGACAGGCAGGAAATCTAAACAGAGATATGGAGAGAGTAGGTGGGGCCAAGGAGACACCATGTAGCTGCCGAAGGAGACAAACGCCCTGCAACTTTACTGGTAGGCCACAGCCTCGTAGTGATTCACAGATTAATAGAAATGGGTTAATTTAAGATGTAAGAATTGGCTAGAAATATGCCTAAGCTATTGGCCAATCAATGTTGTAATTAATACAGCTTCTGTGTGATTATTCATAGCTGGGTGGCTGGGAAATGAACAAGCAGTCTCCTTTGACACCCTAAGCCGAGGTGGAGACCATCAGGGGAGAGGAGAGCCTATTTCCTATGTTCTAGGCCAGTGAAGGGCTGGACTTCTCAGACATGAACGGTCGTGGCGTGATTGTCACGGGCCTCCCATATCCCCCACGAATGGATCCCCGTGTTATCCTCAAGATGCAGTTCTTGGATGAGTTGAGAGCCCGGAGTGGAGCTGGAGCTCAGGTGAGATACCACAGTTCTGGGTGAGCAGGGAACTTTGGGGATCAAGGACCCTAATAACCAAAATTCTTTCCTTTTTAGTGCCTCTCTGGCCAGGAATGGTACCAGCAACAGGCATCCAGGGCTGTAAACCAGGCAATTGGGAGGGTTATCCGCCACCGCCATGACTATGGGGCCATCTTCCTATGTGACCACAGGTACAGGAGGGCTCTGTGGCCACCCGCATATCCTACTTTCTAGACCCTAGACTCTCTTTCCCCTGTGTGAGGCCTATAGCAACCTTTCTGGCCCTGCCAGCAAATACTAGTCCTTCACTTTGTGGCTTGAGTGTAGTGGCCGTAGGGGCAGGGATGGCCTTTCGTCTGTGTGGTAGAGGACCTGAGCTGATTACCATGTATTCACCCTCCAGGTTCGCCTATGCTGATGCCAGGGCCCAGCTGCCCTCCTGGGTGCGCCCTTACCTCAAGGTGTATGACAACTTTGGCCATGTCATCCGAGATGTAGCCCAGTTCTTCCGTGTTGCTCAGAAAACTGTGAGCTCCAAATGCCCAGTTGACTTGCTGGGGTCCCTTCTCTGAGGAGCAATGGATGTAAGCCTTCTCACCTTATAATTCTACAGATGCCTTTGCCAGTTCACCAGGCTATGACCTCGAGTGTAAGTGAGAGAGAATCTGCTGTCAAGGAGGCTACATTGTCCAGCCCTCTTCTCTCCACCAGGAAAGCCATGAGCTTGGATGTGCATGTGCCCAGCCTGAGGCCCATAGGTGTGCTGGGTTGGGTATAAACCACACATGACAGACAGTATCCTTGCTTCTTGGTAAGCATTCTGTCAACACATTTCTTTAGGATTGTCGACTTCTGGAGACTCTGAGAGCAGCCTGTGTGTGGAGTATGAGCAGCAGCCAGTTTCTGCCCAGCAGAGGCCCGTGGGGCTGCTAGCTGCCTTAGAGTACAATGACCAGAAGGCTGAGACATCTGAGAAGGAGCAGGTATGAGGCAGGGTGAGGGTGCCTGGCACGAATATGGCCCTTTCCAGCACACAGCTGGGCAAGTGAGAGATTTCAGCACCTCTGCTGTACCATGCCTTATTCCCCAGGCCCTGTCTTCCATGATGCCACCACCGTATCTTTGGGGTATCAGTCTGGCACAGTTCGCCCCAAATCTAGCACATCCTGCCCCCTGCTGTGCCCAAAGCTGACCTTTCTTCTTCCATCCTGTGTTGTGTGAATGGAGTCTCGAGCTCCTTTTCCTTGGAGGCCTTTGCCCAAAAGCCTTTGAGTTCCTAGGTCTGACTTGGAGCTCTTCCCTCCATCCCTGCTCGGACAGTCAGTTACCACAACCTGTCCTTCCTGTGGCTCTCACTGCTACCTGCAAACAACAAAGGCAAGTGGCAGGGCATAAAAGGGACAGGATCTCAGCACTGCCACCAGGGTTAGGGATGAGAACCCTCCCTTCATCCTTCTCTTCCAGACACAGGCAAGGATCCTGGAGACCCAAAAGGATATCACAGGTGCTTTGGGAACTCTGGGTTTGGTTTGGGACCACATCTGTATTTCCCTCAGGCCCCTGGCTCCTCCACCCTGTCTCTCCGATGTGAGAAGAGGCCGTCTGTTGAGCAGAGAGGAGGAAGGAGAAAGGTCAGGCTGGTCAGTCATCCGGTATGTCAGCCACTCCTGCAGCCAAGCTAACTGCTTGTAGGCATATGTGGGAATTTTGCCTCTGGTGCCCATTGCCCCAACCAAGCAGAGGGTGTGATTAGATTTGAATGGCCATGATGTTGATAACCTAGGGACTCTAATTTGCCATTCTTTAAGAGGACAACCCTTCTTTCCCCTGTGTTTTTTAGTTTTTAGAGGGTCACAAAAAGGCTGGCCTTGAACTCACTATGTAACCAAGAATGACTTTTAACTCCTGATCCTCCTGCCTCCACCTCCCAGGTGTTGTGATTACAGGCATGTGCAATGCTCACCCTGCTCAAGAAACTTTTCCAGCCCTGCTCAAGAGATCTTTGTCTTTTTCTGCTGGAATCCGGCCTGACCCTTAGGCCCATTTTATTTGAGGGTTATTTGAGGTCGTGGTTTCCTCTACTATAAGAGCAGAATGGCTTGGCACTGGCTCTTCCTGAGTATGGACACTGAATTATCTGTATGAGGAGGTGCAGTGTTCCTAGTTTCTGGTGAAAAGTTATAGCCTGAGCCATTAGCCCCTTGTCTGCTGGAAATCCCCAAGTGTGGTGGCTTTTGTCCTTATCCTGCTTGTGAGAAGAATCAGACAGAGCCCAGGAAGGATGATGTATCATGAAGTAGACTATCTGGGAAGGGCCTAAGCAAACGGTAGGCGTGGGAGCTGCCTTGGTTTACAAGTTCTCTGCAGGTCTGAGATGTGCAGACCTAGGGTTGAACCTGTTGAGAAGTGTTCTCCAAACATGTGTTGTGGGGCAGCAAGCTACACAGGCTCCTATAGTTTCCTGGGTCCTTCGGTGAGGTTTGAGATGGGCCTAAGCTTCACCACACACCAGAGCTGGACTTTGGTCTCCAGCAGCCCTCTCCGCTTCTTGTCCCAGTAGATGGTTCACAGGCAGTAGCCTGAATGCAGGTCGTTATCTCCTGGCCCTAGACTCTGTCGTGCCTCCAAGGCAAGAGGGAAGGACTGACTCTGATAGGACTTTTGATCATTTGTCTTGCAGGAGAAACCAGTGGCTGGCACACAAGAAGACAGAGCCAAACTGTTCATGGTAGCAGTGAAGCAAGCATTGAGCCAAGCCAACTTCAACACCTTTACCCAGACCCTACAGCATTATAAGGGTTCTGATGACTTTGAAGCCCTAGTGGCTTCTCTCATCAGCCTCTTTGCTGAAGACCCTAAGAAGCACACTCTATTTAAAGGTACCCTCACCTTCAAAATTCTGCTATAGGGCTAACACCACAGTGGTGGGGTGGAACTGGTTCTGAAGGCTACTAGGGCCCAGGGTTGTCTCTGTTTCCTAGAGAAAGGTCCTGGTGGGCAGGCCATGGTCCGCAGAGCCCCAAGCCCATCAGTCACAGTGCATGGAGCCCATAAACTCAGACATCTATTCTTTACAGGCTTCTACCAGTTTGTACGACCTCACCACAAGCAGCAGTTTGAAGACATCTGCTTCCAGCTGACAGGCCAACGCTGTGGCTACCAGCCAAAGCATGGCCTTCCCTTCCGAGAACAAGCACAGTCAGCTGCGGACCCCACCAGTGAGCAAGGCCCCAGGCTAGACCCTCAATCTTAGATTTGCAGGGCAGTTTACACCTGAGATGGGCATAGTAGACATCCCTAGGGTTTTGCTTGCCTAGATCAGCCAAGCTGATTCTGATTCTGTTGCCCAACAATAGCAGTATTTGTTGGATGAACTCCTAGCCTAGGCATCCAAGAGATCTTCCCCTGGGGAATTCATGCTAGAGTCTTGGCAGCTGGGTACCTGTCCTACTTCTGTCCTGACTGAATAGCTGAGCTGGCCCCTGCACAGAGGCAGTGCCTGTTCCAGTGCTTGCTGCAGGGCAGGTGTGGCAGAGGGACTTTATTCGATTGGGGGAAATTCACCTTTTGGTGAGGTTCCTAATGTCTGTACTTAGGCTCCTGAGTTGGAGCCATTGTCTGGGCCCTCAGAGCCAGTTGGGTGGGTCTGTGATGTGATCCCTTTCCTGTCTGAGGAGTGTGAGGTCTAGTCTTAGGAGCATATTTCTCCAAGAAGGAGAGTGTCAAGAAACTAAACCAACTTTGTCTGAAGGTATAGGTAGACAGCTGGATCCTGGGGAGCACCTGAACCAGGGGAGGCCTCACCTGTCTGCCCATCTGCCTCCTAAAGGTACTAAAGACCTCATGTGGGACTTAAAAATCCGTGAAGAGTTGCATTGGACTGTTTGATTCTTAAACCCATTTGTCCTGAGCAGCTGACAGACTCTACAGGGATATCTGGGAGGAAGCGGAATGGGGAGGGACTCCCAGTAACTTCTCTCTCACCAGGAGACCTCAGCAATTGTCCAAAAGTGGGGTATACAGTAGAGAAACCTGGCCAGCCTGCTGTGAGTGCCTACCTATCCGACATCCGCAAGGCTCTGGGACCTACAGACTGCAGCCAGCTTATGGCAGCTCTGAGGGCATACAAACAGGATGATGACCTGGGCAAGGTGCTGGCTGTGGTGGCTGCACTGACTACTGCAAAACCTGAACACTTATCCCTGCTACAGAGTATGTAGTCCTTGAATGTGAGGCATAGGTTCTAGAGAGAGGGCGGTGTAGGGACTGTATGTAAGAAGTGCAGAGCCTAAACAAAAGTTCCCCGCAGGGTTTGGCATGTTTGTGCGTCCCCACCACAAGCCCCAGTTTCGGCAGACCTGTGTGGACCTTATGGGCTTGCCAACCACAAGCAAGGGCTTGGAGCTACCAGGTCCCAGGGAAGAGAGCACAACTGGACCTTCTGAGCTCTCCGAGGACACAAAAGCAGGTGAGGGCCCCCTTGATGACTCCCTCCACCCTTGCCGTGTCACACTGTGGCCCTCACACTCAGGAGCGAACAGGAGGGAAACACATGCTTCTTACATTGCTGTCTGTAGGTCCTTCAGTGTCCAAGAAACCTGAGAAGACCCAGAGTAAGATCTCATCCTTCCTTAGACAGAGGCCAGTCCAGAGTGTGAAGTCTGATGGTTCTACCCCAGTGAAGCTTATGAGGCCTGATCGGAGTAAGCCATAGGGGCAACAGGGACTGCTGGTTATGGCAGGGCCCTGGGACTGTGCTCACTCAGACCTCCTGCAGCAGTGTTTGTGTGCCCAGCCTGTGCAACTGAAGACACAGCGCTTTTCCAGTGCCCCTCCTGTGACCTCTGCCGCTGCTGGGCCTGTTGGCAACTGCAACTCCAGGTTGGGGTCTGACCCTCTCCAGCCCATCCGGCATCTCCCCAGGTAGTGGGCTGGGGGCCTAGGGTGTGCACTTGGCCGGCTGCAGTGCCTAGCAGGTATCTCTACAGGCCTCTAGAGTGTGTCCAGCTTGCGGTGCTGTTAACAGGAAGCAGAGCATTACTCAGGTCTTCTGGCCGAAGCCCCAGTGATGTGACAACTGGCTGATCCACTGCAAGTCTTTACCATCTAATGGATCTGAAACCTCAGGGCATGATGGGTGGGTCTGCTAGATGCCTTCTTGCCGGACATTTTGAGCGCCCAGGGCTGTTCAATAAAACCAATTGACAGGATGGTGTTCATGCCTCGCTAAGTATCCTGGTACAGTTCCAGGGCAGCCAAAGCTACAGACTCTGCCTTGAAAAAGAGAGAAGCAATGCCAGATAATGGTGGCACACACTTTTAATCCCAGCACTTGGGAGGCTGTCTTTGAGTTTGAGGCCAGCCTGGTCCAGGGCTACACAGAGAAACCTTGTCTCAAAAAATGAAAACACGGGAGGACAGCTATCTGGGAAGATCCCATCTTGCAGACCTGCAGTGTTCTGTGTCCAGCCAGCTTCTAAATTGATCCTTCATCCTTCACCAGCCAAGCCTCAAAGCCCTTATGGGAGGTTCCAGGACTTATCTATATGAAATTGTCCAGCCTAACCACACTGGAAGCCGGGGTACTTATGTGTGTATGTGTACTTTCCCCATGAGCTTGAGCATGGGAGTTCTTAGCTTTTACAGCACCATCTGGCACTGGCATGGAGTGAGACTATAGGAGCTTAGGACTTAAGCTACAGAAGATAGACCCCAAATATTTTCCAATCCTGCCCTCTTCTAACCTAACATAACAGGAATACTCAAGAGGGGCCTGCGCCCTACAGGCACCTCAGCCAGCTGCTCAAGTTCAGATCAGTGCTGTCCTCACTGTAACTGCTCTGCCCTGGCCTTAGTTTGGTCTTCAACTTTACACAATTCTTCCTTACTTTGTAGACAGGGTCAGAACCCTAGAAAGGCTGTTAGCCCAAGGAGATGAAAAAAGGTTCCTTGCAGGAAATGTCAGGTGTCAGTTCCAATTACATGTTGGCCCTCCTTAACCTTTTCCAACAGAGGGCTCCGGGGACTTTGGTCAGGCAGTCTAGCCTGAAAGCCCCTCTTTGAATAGCCCTGTCTTTTGTTTCCATGGGTATTTTGTTCTTACTTTCATGCCTTGTTTAATGTTCTTTGAACTTAGCAACCCATATGGTCTCTCCTGACTTCTTTGTATGAGCTCTGAACACACAATCATGGAAATTTGACTTTCTGGAACATTTCTTTTAAAGGGTTGTGGTGACTGCAGCAGGCCCTGGTAAACCCAGGAAAATGGGGTTCACCACTATCACAGGAGGCCCTGCAGCCTCTGTAACAGCTCTCCAATGAGAGTGAAGTTCAGGATTACACGCTCTGTTGCGAGGCTAAGATGCCTCATCTGTAGAGCTGCTAATGCAACAATTTTCTTGTGACTGGCTAACTCTGCACTGTATATAGGACTTTATTCTATGCTCCCAATCAATGTCACCCTAACCTGACACCTCTTCATTTTTTGCTGTTCTGAGGCAGGTTTCTCTGTTTAACAGCCCTGGCATTCACTCTGTAGACTAGGCTGGCCTTGAACTCAGAGATATGCCTGCCTCTGCCTTCCAAGTTCTGGACTTTTTATAAAGCTATTCATTTCAGAAAGATAGCTGTTCTCAATTTGCAGCTCTGTCCCAAAGGTCACTCCATGAAGCTCCTAATCTTGCTCAATGTTCAGAGAATTGAGGGGAGGTGGCCAGAGAGACATCTTGAATGTCTGATGCCCAATGCTAGACTTCCCCTTGGTTTGTCCATCTTATGAGCAGCCTATTCTTTAATTTCCAGGAGAATCCTCTAGGAAGGATTCAACTCAGCTCATAGGAGACCTATGGGATAGGACCTCTCCTTGAATCAGAGTACCCACTGCCCTCTTCCTGATTCACCTTCTCAGCCACTCCTCCCAACCCCCCTTGAAGAGGATGACCTTGGACGAGGAGCCACTAGGTCTTGAACCCAAGGCTTAGCCACAGCTACAAACCTCCCTGGGAGCTCCTGCTCAGCAGGCATTCTAGGGCAGCAGCTTCTGGCTATAATCACCAGACAGTGGGGAACCAGTGTTTAACTGCTGGAAGGGATGATTGGACAGGAGACACTTTTTATTTTACAACCTTATCCTGGCCACATGAGGAAGAATTTAACCTAGTAGGCTTAGTGGGCAGGACTGCTGCCCCCCAGGAATCCGCACCTCACACCCATCCAGCACTTCACTCATGTGGACCCTGTAGGGACCGAGCCCACCTGCACTAGCTATAGCAACACCTAATAACCTGGTGAAAGGTGTGCCCTCAGGACACCACACAACCTGAGTATGGGAGCACTGAAGTGTACACTCAGCGAGATTTCTAGATCAGCTTTCTCCTTTGGAGATAAATCAGAGAGAATAAGGGAAGTCAGACTTCCCAGGCAGGTCTACTGAACCCTGTCTTGAGACTGTATCAAAACCTAGTGGAAAGGTGAGTGTGGTGCCCCCATACCTATAATTCCCACAGGTACAGGGAAGGAGGCAAAGGGTTCTGGGTTAACATGGGTTACAAAAAACTCTTGTCTCACACTCAACTCCAAACAAAACAACAAGGGGCCATGCTGGCCTCTGGAATGTGGGCTAAGTCTTTCTCCAAGTGGGGATTAGCCCTGGCCATTCCCACCTTTTACATGGGCAAGCTGGACAAAGTAGCTGCCAGAAACAGACCTCCCATTTCAAGCAGGATGCCCTCAAACTCCACTTTGGAATGAGCCAACAGGCAAACCTAGGGGTAGCCTCACCCCAACCCCTCCTTACAGGTTTGGGAGGGTCCCAGATCTGGAATGGGGTGGAATGGGAGGTAGGGCATCTAGAGCTGGATGACTTGTGTGCCCCCCATTTGTCTCTGGATACCTACATTTTCCAGACACAGAGAAAAGTTTGTCTTAGAGAAAACATAAAGCGAATAAATGAATGAACAAACACAGCCAGCTCAACCCCAGCATCGGTGGCACACAGCCAGCAGGCACACAGCCAGCAGTACTCTTCCAACACCAGGGATGAATAGTCCCAAGACTGCAAAGCTGGCATTGCTTATGTGATGTCCCTCTGCCGTGGTGGCCGGTGAACGTTCCTCACGACACACTTCACCATCCATTCGATGCCCTCTCGAACTCCTTTTCTGTGGAGACAGTATGTGTGAGGCAGGGCTAGCCTTGGTCCTGAGAACTCTAGAGAGTGAGGCCTCAACTCACCCCGTGAGAGCAGAGCAGGCCTGGGTTAGACAGTCTCGTCGGCCAATCTTGCAGGTACAGTCACTGAATGCAGTCTTGATGTCAGGAATGGAGAGGCAGGTCTGACGGGAGGCGAGACTCTGAGATACTTCCACCACCTAGCTCCATCCAGCTTGTTTGTTCACTTGGGCTTCAGGAAGGCCACAGTCCCTCAGTAGAGGTGAGCCTGCTGCACCTGGTCCAAGTCTACTGTGGACGGCTTTGCCCAGGGCTTTAGGGAACCTACACACAGCTCTCAAGAGAACATCCCATACCTCCCCCAAGAACAACCCCCAGAGCATCTATCAGCACAACATTGAACTAAGTCAGGAGCTCTAGTGCCAAGTGAGGAAGGGTCCAGGGTCCTGGGGTTGAGAAGCCTTGGTAGTATTCAGTGGCTTCTCTGTTCCCCTTTCCATCTAAGGAAATGCCCCGAGTTCCTTAACCAAGTACCGGAGACCTCTATTACTAGTTTTGGGACAGAGATGGAGTGGGGGGAAGTCCTCAGGAAAATGAACAGAGAACAGGTCATGTTAGATGTAACTAGGTAGATACATAGGGCCGCAGAAAAATGAAGCTTCCTTGGCCCTCTAGCTACTGGTTGCTACCATGTCCTCCATGGTTCTTTCTGTATAGAACCCCTTTTGTAAGATGGTGGGAACTTTGTGTGGCCAGAAGTCCAAAGGGAAGTAGCACCTCGTCTCAGAAGATGCCCATTGTCTTTCCCCTCCACTCCCACTTTAAAAGCTAAAGATTTGTTTTTTATTATCTATAGGAATGTGTCGGGGTGGGGTATGTACAAACGAGAACAGGTATCTACTAAGGCTAGAGGTGTCAGATCCCCTGCAGCTGCAATCCCAGATGGCTGTGAGCCACCTGACATGGGTGCTGGACTCAAACTCGGGTCTTCTGGAAGGGCATACATGCTCTTAATCTCTGAGCCATCTCTAATGCCCACCACTCCACTTCTTTGAACCCAGAATTTTCTCCCAGGTCTTGCTCTAGGCCCCTTACTCCCAGAATCCCTGGGGATGCCCACAGACACGAGCCCCTGGTCCTCCCTTGGGAAAGAAGATGGATCTGCACTCTTGACTGTAAGAACCTCTAGTAGGAACATGCCTGGTGGCAGCTCGTGACACCAAGAAAGGAACTGAAGTTGGAAAGGTGGGGATCCTAAGGGTGTGAAGGAGGGGCCCAAGAAGGGCAGAGAGAGGTTGGGATGGAAGGTAGAGACACTAGGTTCTGGAATCTGGAGGCATACAAGTCACTTTCTTTACAGTGGCAATAGAGGCCCTACAGCAGCTTTGTGGGGCTCACCTCCACATCCTGCTTGTTGGCCAACACCAGGATGGGGACACCGTCCAATGCTTCACTCGAAACCACCTTCTCTGAGGAAAGCAGGAGAGGTGGTGCCTTGCACCCTGTATCCTGTTTGTGACTGCAGGCTCTGCCCAGGCCCAAAGGTGTGTGCAGACAGCTCCCTTCCACCCTTTCCCTCACAAACTAGACAGCCCGAGCAACACAACTGAGGCGTTTTTTGGCATTAGCATCAGGTGTAAGCCCAGCCTCCCTTAAGGAAAGTTCCAGATGAGGGAGGATCCAGATTAGACTGGTACACACCCCTTGGTGTGCCCCTCCCCACACGATTCCCTAGATGTAGGTCTTCCCATCTTTCTCTCCCTCCTCGAGTGGCCATGCCACACTCACCAAATGCCTCTTTGGATTCTGACAGTCTCTCCTCATCAGTGGAGTCAATGACATAGATGACACCATGGCACTCTGCATAGTACTAGAAGGAAGAAGAGGGAGTGGGGGCTACAGGTGAGACCTTGTATCACAACCACCAGAAGAGGCCCACAAGAGGGAGTGGTGAAAACTTTGCTATCCCAGGCCCACAATGAAAAAATTGGCACAACCCAGTGGGAAGACTTGCAAGGAAGCGTTCTGGGGCTAATTTAGTGGTAGAGATAACATTGCACCTTTGAGGAAGGCTCGCTGGTTCTGGCAGGTTCATCTACTTCCTCCTGCTCACGGGCTGCTCTTGAGAACTCACCTGCTGCCCATGCTGAGTAAAGGGTAAGAGACAGAGCTAGAGGTTGCGAAGCTAAGAGGCTCACGGCTGAGGTCAGCACTGCCTAGGAAGCTATCCTGCCTGAACAAAAATGACAGTACTGATCTCAGGTTAGACGTAGGTTTCCAACAACAAGGGTGAGGAATGGACAGCACTCCTAAGGAAAACAGATGGGGCAAAGTAAGCGTAGGGATGAAGACATTGTATGAGCTCCTATGCCAATCAGAAAAATAATGCCTGTCAATATGGGGCAAACAGCATACACTTGCCACTTCATATCAGGATCACACTGGGAGAAGTCAACACTGACTGGTAAAATAATGTGCTACAGACAGGGTAGGATGTATACCACTGAGGTTGTATGACAAGTAAGAAAGGAACACTACACCCAAGTCAGTAAAACTCCCTTCCTACTCGCATTTCCCATGGAGTACTAAAGGCCAGTCCCAGGTCCTTTCTGCAGGGCTTTGTAGCCAGACTCATCCAAATAGCTCCAACCTTGCAAAGGGTCTGGCACAGAAGCTGCTAGCTCTCAAGGCAAGACAGTGGGTTAGCCTATTGCTAGAGGCCTGAGAGCAGGCAGGTCCTACTGTAGAGGCATTTATGATAACAGTGGATGATATAAGGGTTACAGCAAGCCCAGTGAGTCAGCAGGCAGCACTAGTTCCAGAGGTCGTCAGGAACGTCTTATGTGATTAGGCACAAGACTTAGAGTCACCCATCACATCCACAGGCATGAGGTCCAACAGCTGCCAGAGAGATGAGAGAGGCATACTAACCTCAGCTGAGAAGTCACACCTGTGGCTATGAATGTGCGCTGGGGGAGGGGCAAAGAGACCTGCATAACCAGCAGAAGGAAACACTCTTAGCTAGACATGGGACAGACCAGAGACAGATAGCCCACTTGGTCTGCTTGTGTGAGAAGTGATATAAGCCTGGTATGTGCACAGATCTATGGACAAAAGCACTCTGCTCGGTCAGCAGAGTAGGTACCAAAGCCTAAGGAAGGCAAATGAAGCAGCGACATGGTGACTGGTTTCTATCTCAGGGTTCACCAGAGCAATGTCAAGAGCAACTGACCCATTGGTGGTGGTGTGCTAGACTGAGTGGCAGACCAAAAACTTATCAGTATAGGTACCGTTCACCAAGGCCAACAGAGCCCCTGCTAGGCACTTCACTTGATTGGGCAGCATGGCTAAGTCCTACGAAATATCATCTCTTAAGAAAGTCAGGGGGAACCAGAATACAAGCATGTCTCCTTAGCAACGACATGAGACACTGGGCCACAGTCATATGTCAACTGACTTTCCTTTCAGCAGAGGAGACTCAAGTCACAAAAACACAGCCTGTCGCCCTAGCAGGACAGACAGCATTGGGCCACAGTGCCCGTGTGGTAGCACTATTGCAGAATACCAGGATGAGAAACCTTCCTAAGGTGCTACGTTCAGGCCAGGACACAGCATCCAGGAACCAAGGTAAGACGAGGCCCTCTTCCTGACCCTCCTAGTAATCTAGAAGCAACTCTGCTGCACATCTTTACAACCCCAAGTACTATAGGGATCAAGGGTAAGGGAAAGTGGGTCCTGTCCACCAAAGCAACAAGCCCAGCAGAGCCAAACATGGCTACCTAGTGGGCACACTGGGTGGGCTCCATTTGCTCAAAGAAAACTGCCCCTGATTGACCGGAGACAGGATGACAGGTGACTCAATCAGCCATCAGGAAGTCACATCATGGTCAGCTGACAAGGTTGCTGTCTACCCTCCTCCTGGAAGGGGCCTCCCAATGTGGGGTACATATCTAAGCAGTGCACAGAAAATCACTCTGGCTGTCCATCGCAAAGAGCAGTGACTGGTGACTTAGAAGATGGAAGGCTTGGGGTCCTAGCCGGCTCTGCTAAGTTCCCTCTCTGCCACCATCCTGGTGATGACCCCAATACACATACTCTGCATCTCACTGTCCACTTCATGACCTAACCTGTGACAAGATGGTCATTGATTTGATTCCCCACCTGTGTCTCATGTTTGGAGGTGCCAATTTACATCACTGCCCCCTAAAGAGGCTTGTCCTCTCTGTCCAACCTGGTGGCCATCAGAGACCTTCTGCATATAGGATAAGTAATAGCAAGAAGAAACACCTTAGGGAAGCCCAGGAAAGAACTGGGAGCAAAACTGGCCTTCGGTTGTAATATATGGCTGCTGGGAAGCATGACAGTAGCCGAAGCACCTGTACCACAGCACGGGGCTGCACCAGATAACCGTGCCAACTCACAGGGCAGGAGACCACTGAAGGAAAGTCAGGGCTTGTTCTACACAGTGCTAGACCTAGTACCTGGCATAGGCTGGGTGGAGGAGACGCTAGCGTAGGAATGTATATAGAGAGAAGTCTAAAACAATGCCCAAAGAAGAGGCAGGTGCTATCTGCTTCTGAGAAAATCCTTCTCAGATGGGAAAGAGACCATCTGGAAGAACCATGAGAAGCTAGAATGAGGTAGACAGATTCACCAGGAAACAAAAGATTTGTACACTCCCTATATATGATCTCTGCCATTTCTGTCTGCCTCTAAGGACATAGGTTATAGAGTTCCCCAGTCAGGACTCTACACTGACTTCCCTGGTGAGCAATGCTTCTTTCTTTGGGATTGACAGTGGCCTCGTCAGGAAAAGGCTAGGTTGCCTATGGGAGCTTCTCTGGTACCACTTCTATGTTGATTCTGACTCCGGGTTTTGCCAGAGTGAGACAGAAAGCAACCTAGGATAGGACTGAAGAGAAAACCTTTGGACAGGGCCAACGAAATGGCTCAGCAGGTAAAGGTGCTTGCTATGCAAGCCTGACAATCTGAGTTTGATCTCTGGATCCCATGTAAATGTCAGAAAACAGACTCTACAAACTTGTCCTCTGACCTCTACATGTATGCTGTGATAATCCTCTACCCCCAATCAAAAGTAATTTTTTAAAAAGAGAAAATCTTCAGAGTAAATGTGGACAACAGGCACGCTCACTGAAGAAGAGGCTAAGAGAAGCCATCCAGAGAAAGACAGCAGGAAGCAGAGTTTGTCTTACCTTGTCCCACAAAGACTGCAGCTCTTCTTGCCCACCTAAGTCCCAGAACATGAGACGAGCCTTCCCCACGTCCACTGTGCCAACTGGGGAAAGGACAGAATGAGCTAGCCCCTGACCTTAGTCTTTACACAGAAAGTCCCAGCTCTTCCTGGGATAAGGCAAACCCTTCGGGTACCAATCCCAGAGAATGGAGAGACAGGGATCTGGCCACTGGCCAGCTGGGCTGTGGAGCCTGCAGCACCCACCTCTAAGGGACCCCTAAATTCATATGCCTAAGGTGCCCCCTTACTGTTTAGACCCACGGTGGTGGTGATTTTAGATAGACTCATCCCCTTGTAGTTCTTGTTAAACCGTGTTTTTGATTGTTCCAAGAAGGTCTGAGGAAAGAAAAAGAGATGGTTATAGTGGCAGCTAAAGCAGTTTTCTGGTGTCTTTCCTAAATATCCCTTCGCACCCATACGCTTTGGGAAAATTCAGGCCTCCACACCCACACACTTTGGGCAACTCTGGGCTTTCACATACATACACAAACACATGCAAACGAACCTCTGCCTGTTGAATGCTCTTTGGGAGGCTGGTGGCAACTAACCTGTAGTCTTGGGTGGGGGTTAGATTTCCAAAGAAGAAAACATAAGGCAGGGAATAGGACTTGGTTATGGAATAGGCACCTACTGTCTTCCCAGCATTGTCCAGGCCCAGGATCAGGATGCAGTATTCGTCCTTCTGGAACATGTACTTGTACAGCCCCGAAAGCAGCGTATACATCCTGCCCTGGCACCCTGAGAAACGTCAAGGTGTGTACCGGGGGCATTAACCTCGGGCCCGCTTCATCGGTGGTCCGTCGTCTATCCAGCTAGCTTTCAAATGTGGAGCCTCGTGGCGTGGCTCATGACTCCTTGCGCCCTGTTTTATAAGATTCCCGACCCCGCCTCCACCGCCGACCACCTGCTCTAAACTGGGTCACTCCCACTTCGGAATACACCATCAGCCCTGAAAAACCCGCCGCGGCCTACCCTGCTCTGCCTTCCTAAGGCTCCTCTTTCCGGACCCTCCACTCAGCACTAGGAACTACGACTGTCGCAGGTCCTAAGCCAGCGACCAGAGTCTAGGGTGCTCACAAGAGGCAGCGCTTCTGCCGTGGGCCGGCTTCGGAACCCCGCCGCTGCCGGGTCCACAGAGCCTCGGAACCAGCCGCCGAGGTCGTTTCCGTCCCCTCCCGTAGGATTTTGGAACCCGGGTTCCTCAGCCTGGCTGAAACCCACCTCCACCTGCTCAGATCCGAGAGCCTCAGCCGCCGACGCCTCGCTGCAAGCCCCACCGACCTCACGTTGCCCCCGCGCGGTGCCGGACGGGACACAGACCGGCGGCCCAAGTACGGGCGGAACCATATCCCAGCGGCCCCCGCGCGCCCCAGCCTGGCAGCTCCGGAACGCGGCCACTTCCGGCAGCATCAGCTCCCGGGCGGAAGTGCCTGTGGCAGGCGGAAGGCTGGAGCGAGGGCTTTACTGGCGAGGCCGGAAGCCCTCGGAGGCTGCCGGCGCCGGCGGGAGGCGGGGCTGCGGACCGCAGAGGACGCGGTGGGATACTTGTGGTTCCCCACCTTGGCAGAGCTGAGGTTCTCCCCAGGCTCTCGAGCGGTTGCGGGGAAGTGTCGTCCTGAGCTCTGCTGACTACTCTTCCTTCTGGTCTCGTCTGCCTTCGCGGTTCCGGAGCTAGCCTGCGCGGGCAGGGATGGACGAGGACAACTTGGAGACTGCCCTGCAGACCTACCGGGCCCAGCTTCGGCAGGTAGAGCTGGCCCTTGGTGCTGGCCTGGACGCCTCCGAGCTGGCAGACCTGCGCCAGCTGCAGAGCGATCTGAAGGAACTGATAGAGCTCACCGAGGCCAGTCTGCTGTCGGTCAGGAAGAGCAAGCTGCTGGCTACAGTGGACCAGGAGCACCCAGCGCAGGAGGATGCTGAGTACTTGGCTTTCCAGAAGGCTATAGCGGAGGAAGTGGAGGCGCCCGTCGCCCCCGGGGATGACTCGGAGACGGTCACTGGGAGCGAGGTGCGGCCGGGACCCACCTCCCCTGCACAGGAGGAAGATGAGGAGGACCCAGATCAGGAGGAGCTGAGCGGTGCTAAAGTGAATGCCCCTTACCACAGCTCATGGGGCACTCTAGAGTACCACAACGCAATGGTTGTGGGCACTGAAGAGGCAGAAGATGGTTCGGCATGTGTTCGCGTACTCTACCTGTACCCTACCCACAAGTCCCTGAAGCCCTGCCCTTTCTTCCTGGAGGGAAAGTGTCGCTTCAAGGAAAACTGCAGGTAAAGCCATCTACTAAAGCTACTAGCAATGAGGAGCACTCACGCAGGACCACCACTGTGGCCTGCGCCTTCACTACTTGTTCACCCCTGAGAACTGATAGAAAGGCGAGCTTCAGGTAGCTGTCAGGCTTTTACAAAAGTGGTCTTCGTGTGCTTACTTAGAATTTCTTCCTTCCTTCCTTTAATTTTTATTTATTTTTTATTTTGGATATAGAGTTTCTTTGTGTAGCCCTGGCATCCCTGGAACTTGCTCTGTACTCAAGACTCAGAAATCTGCCTGCCTCTGCCTCCCGAGTGTTCAGATTAAAGGCGTGTGTCGCCACCATCCGGCTTAGATTTTCTTGCATAAATCAAGCTCAAGAGGGCTTGTGTTGAAAAGATGAGGCAGCCCATCATCAATATTCTTCTTCAGGCTAAAACGTTTTTTCTTTGAGGCAGCAGGTATCCCAGACTGGCCTTCAACTCCTCATCCTCCAACTTCCACTTTCCAGGTGCTGGGATTACAGATGGAGGCCACCACTTCTCCTGGGCTACATCCCCGACTCTGAACTTTTTAAAAAAAAATTTATGGTTATACTGAGGACAGAACCAGGACCTCCAACATACCAGGCAGCCAACTACTCCACACATTATTCTCATCCACAGCTTCCATATTTACTTAGTTTACTTTCTTAAACTATTCCCATAGTTTGATTATGTATGTTTTCAAACTCATAATCTCTTGCTAATTATTTACCCTACTTCTCCCCACTAGACTACTTGAAAGCATCTTTCACAAGTTAAATCTTATCTGTGTTTTGTTTTGAGTTTTTTGTTGTTGGTGGGTTTTTTTTTTGTGTGTGTTCTTTTTTGTTTGTTTTTGTTTTTGAGCCAAGGTCTCTCTGTGTAGCCCTGGCTGTCCTGGAACTTACTCTATAGACCAGGCTGGCCTCAAACTCAGAGATCTGCCTGTCTCTACCTCCCGAGTGCTGGAATATCAAGTGCTTCTTGTGTTTCTGTAGCTTACCTCTCGTGTCACTCGTGTAGACATCACCGTTCAACACTGTCCATTTTCTAAACCTGATTGCACCTGAATCTAGCAATTTATACACTTCTCCAGGCCTCTCCTGCCCTTGCTCTTTATTGAAGAATCATCAGTTAACTTGTGTGCTAAAGGCCCACATTTGTTGCTGTGACTCCAGTATATGAGCAACCAGATCACATCTCTGGCACAAACTATGTTCCAGCCCTATCAGTAAGACTAGGGGCAATGCATTTATCAGGAGGTATGTTATTTTTAACTGAGTCTCTATCATTCAGTTTTATAAATAAACACTTGGGAGGCAGATGCTGGGGTGAAAACCTGCTAGCTCAGAGAGGCAGAGAAAGCACCCAGATGCTTCCTCCTCTGCCGTCATTCCAGAAAGAGAGCTTTTCCTTCTCCTTCATTGTCAACTGATATATACTGCAAGACTTTCAGTCCAGCCAATCAGACTCATTTGTTCTTTCTGCTGTTGGGAACAGCCATAATGCTTTTAGAAAATTAACATGCATAACAACTGTTTGTATAGTTTAAAGACATGGGGGTCCGCTATTCGTAGGTTTCCAGCTCACCCAGGACCTGTGAGCCTGAATTTTGTTTTACCCTACAGGTAAACTTGAGTCTGAAATCAAAATGAAAATACTTGAGATAAGGTGCTTTGTGCCTGTTCCCAACAAGCCTATTTGCTCTTTTCTCTTGGGACATTTTCTCTCGTTGACCCATCCTCCTTCTTCAGATGTTTCAGTTGTCCAGTGGTTTCTGGATCCCTTACTCATTCTCCTGAAAAGATGAAGGCAAAACCCTGCCCCAGCCCTATCTTTGGGGGATCCTTTCTTGACAGGTGTAGTTGAACTTTTTTGTCTGGACTGTTGGCTCCCAATAATGACATGGAGATTTACTATTAATTATGAAAGCTTGTCTGATAGCTTAGGCTTGTTTCTAACTAGCTCTAATAACTTACATTAACCTATATCTTTTTTCTCTTTTCTTGTTTTTAATTGAGCTATACATTTTTCCCCACTCCCCTTCCTTCCTCCACTCTCCCCTTTCCACCCTCTCACCTGCCCCTCATGCTCCCAATTTACTCAAGAGATCTCGTCTTTTTCTCCTTCCTAGGCAGATCCATATATTTTTTTCTCTTAGGATCTTTGTTGTCTAGGTTCTCTGCGGTTGTGGAAAGTAGGCTGGTTTGTTATTCTTTGCTATATTTCATATATATATATATATTTTTTTTTTTATTAATTTATTATGTATACAACATTCTGTCTGTGTGTATGCCTGCAGGCCAGCAGAGGGCACCAGACCCCATTACAGATGGTTGTGAGCCACCATGTGGTTGCTGGGAATTGAACTCAGGACCTTTGGAAGAGCAGGCAATGCTCTTAACCTCTGAGCCATCTCTCCAGCCCCTCTTTGCTTTATTTCTTTTCTTTTTTTTTTTAAAGATTTATTTATTATGTATACAACATTCTGCCTCCATGTATGCCCGCAAGCCAGAAGAGGGCGCCAGATCTCGTTACAGATGGTTGTGAGCCACCATGTGGTTGCTGGGAATTGAACTCCGGACCTTTGGAAGAGCAGCCCGTGCTCTTAACCGCTGAGCCATCTCTCCAGCCCCCTCTTTGCTTTATTTCTAAAATAACCTATTTCTTTTAATATTCATTCTTTTATGGACTCAATCACTTTTACTCTGTATTGCCCATGCTGCTTCCTCTGCATCTCCTGGTTTCTCTGCCCTCCTCAGAATCCTCTGTGTCTGAAAATTCCGCCTAGCTTTTTTTTTTTTTTTTTTTTTTAATAATTTTTTTTATTAAGAAAAGAAGAAAAAAAACATAAACAAAAAACAAGTTTCCACCTCCTCCCAGCCTCCCATTTCCCTCCCCCTCCTCCCACCCTTCTCCCCTTCCTCCCACCCTTGTACCCCTCCCCCCACTCCTCTCCCCCTCCCTCTCCAGTCCACAGAGCAGTCCAGGTTCCCTGCCCTGTGGTAAGTCCTAGGTCCTCCCCCCTCCGTCCATATCTAGGAAGGTGAACATCCAAACTGGCTAGGCTTCCACAAAGCCAGCACATTAAGTAGGATCAAAACCCCGTGCCATTGTCCTTGGCGTCTCATCAGCCCTCATTGTTCGCCATGTTCAGAGAGTCCGGTTTTATCCCATGCTTTTTCGGTCACAGTCCAGCTGGCCTTGGTGAGCTCCCAGTAGATCAGCTCCACTGTCTCAGTGGGTGGGTGCACGCCTCGTGGTCCCGACTTCTTTGCTCATGTTCTCCCTCCTTCTGCTCCTCATTGGGACCTTGGGAGCTCCGCCTAGCTTTTGACTGATCAGTTTTTTATTAAAACAGTCAGAGTGACACATCTTCACAGTATACATATTCCACAACATTTCCCCCTTTTTGTCTAAAGAAAATTGAAGTTTTAACTCTAACATAATAAATCTATATACAATAAGAACAATTATCAGGTAAGAATTACATTCACAATGTCCAGTTCATTTGTATTTGGAAAATTTGGAGAAAGTACTGTATTATCTATCCTGTCTTAGTCCAAATTTTTATACCTAAACCATTTTCTATCATAACTTATATTACCATCTCAAAACTTCTTTTTTTCTTGGTTTTTCGAGACAGGGTTTCTCTGTAGCTTTGGAGCCTTTCTTGGAACTCGCTCTGTAGACCAGGCTGGCCTCGAACTCACAGAGATCCGCCTGCCTCTGCCTCCCAAATGCTAAGATTAAAAGCATGTGCCACCACCACCCAGCTCAGTTTATTGTATTTTTTATTTACATAGTGTGCTAATCATATTTTCATGGACCTGTTGGCTATACGGCTCAGTAGTTAGGTGGTTAAGTCAGAAGGATAAAAAAATTCAAGATCATGAGGCTGGAGAGGTGGCTCAGCAGTTATCAGCTCTTACTGTCCTTCCAGACGAACCACACTGGGCAGCTTACAACTGCCTGTAACTCTAGTTCCAGGGCATCTGATGCTATCTTCTGACCTTCACAGGCGCTTGCACTTACGCACATACCCACACACAAAACTTAATAAGTATTCTTTTGTGGGTTCCAGATCTGGGCTA